AATTCTTGTAGATTTTGTAGTAAATTCTCAAGTATCAATATGTTAATAAACAATTCTTGTAGATTTGGTAATAAATTCTCAAATATCAATATGTGAATAAACAATTCTTGAAGATTTTGTAGTAAATTCTCAAATATTAGAAATAAGTAAACATAAGGACATGTATAAATTGAATATGTGTTATTTCAGATTCATCTTGAGGAACTACATTGCTCAGAATGCCATCAAGGCAGCAGAAAAGGGAGATTACTTTGAAGTTAGAAGGGTTCTGAAGTTACTGGAAAATCCTTACAGTGATCAGGTTGACCTGGGTGACCTTGCTTTGCCACAGCAAGATGGAAATGTATCAAAGTCAACAGACGATAAACGTAAGTGAAAAATTATTGCATAATGCATATGTTCCGTACCATATGAGCATTTGGACCATATGTGTATATACTCATATGGTCCAACCATACACTTATGGTCCGTTAATTAACATGATGAACGTTGAAAAGGTGTTCCACACATAGTTCAAAGTCTAAAGATAAAAGTTTTTAATTATTCAATCATATTGTAATCATTGTTACATAATTAATGAAATAAAGTGAATTTTACTTACAAGTAAGAATTATAGTAAAATCATTATTACATGGTCAATATAGATTTGTCCTTACATTTATATGAAATAATGATTTAACTGAACACTAAGAAAAATGAAAAAAGGTCCATGCCCAAAATGCCTGTGGTTTCACTTGCGGACAAATAATCAACAAGAAAAAATGCTCTAATTTGATTGCAAAGGCAAGGTAACAAGAAACTCAAAGATTTAGACAATATGTAAAGATAAAGGAATTCAGTTAGTAACTTGTGCTGGTTTGGGTTCGGAGAATGAGATGTGTGCTTCGGTGAAGAAAGTTAGAATTTATTTGAAAAATAGCTAAATAGTTTAAATGCTCATATGGTCCGGTCTATTAATAAACAAACGAGTATAATACTCATATGGTCATGACCATACGTGTATGGTCCAAATACTCATATGGTCCGTAACACATATATTGTTAAAATGAAATTTTCTTGCACATATTTTACCAAAGGAAATAAAATTGAAAGTGGACTTTGTGTTTTTTTGTAAATTATTAGAAGAGAAAGTGAACCTAAATAAATATTAATAAAACCTTAGTCATTTGCCATTTCTGATTGTAATTGTGTAATTTGATCGTTCCTACACAAAATGAAATGAATGTTACAACATTGAATTAAGGATGTTTTCATCAAATCAAGGTTTTGACGTACTCTTTTGAAAATATTACCCAGAATGCATTCGATTTTTGAAACAGTGAATTAAAATGTCAGCTATAATTTTTAATATATATTTACAGCATCTGATGGAGGAGCAACTGGTTCAAAGTCAAAGGGAACATGTGAAGTGAGAAGTTACACTGGAATGTTGTATGAGAGCAAACCTCCTGATTGGTCTTTAGATCTAAAGGTCACATGATCATCGTAAACACCACTGTTACTATTCCATAGACAGGCAAATTAAATCAACTAACTTATGTCAAGTTTTGAGCCATTATATAATGCTGTAAACTATAAGTAGTTATAATTTGAACTTTTTGTCTGTGGTGTGAGCTGTGGTCATATTTTGTGCACAGGATATCAGTTTAGATTGTTCTATTAGAATGACGATACCTGTCCAAATTTGAGTATTCAAATGGCAGGTATCTGATAGTGATCCCTGTGTACTGATTATATACACTTCTTATGAATTACAGAAAAATTCTTAGAAATTGATGAAACCCTTACTAGTAATATGTAATTAATTTTGTAAAATTATGTTTAAAATATTAAAATAATTAAGGTCAATAGAAATATTTTGTCAAATTATGTCTATTTTCTAAGAATTGTATCATATGACTTTTATTTATATATGTGTTGTTTGTTCATATCTGCCAACACACAAGTTCTAGGAGGGAAACTCCCTCTTTTTCCCTAAAAATTTGATATCCCCCACTTTGGACATTTATCTGCAAAGATGTCTTCCTTTGATAAAAAAAAAACACCCCCTTCCAATCATTTAAGTTATTTATCTGCAAAGATGTCTTCCTTTGATAAAAAAAAAACACCCCCTTCCAATCATTTAAGTTGTTTTAATGATATTTTCTGTGATTGATTTTTCACTGAATTTCAAATTCATTTCTTATTTGCATAGTAAAAAGACATCCCATCTCATCAAGAATGTTGTTTTATCTAATTAACTCCATGTATAGATAATTAAATTTTATCCTTATGTGCTTATTTATTATAAAAATTGTATCTTTTTACAAAACTTTGTATGAAAAAAGGTTGCCTTGCATAATCCTCCCCCCCCCCCCCCTTTTTAGCAGAGCTGGAAAAAAGGGGGAGATATTCCACTTTGTAGCTCCAAAAAGTTAACTGGTATGAATATTAATCATTTGTTTCAGATTACTCAAGTTAATTGAATGAATTGTATAACATAGTTTTGTGTGTCAAAATGAAAAGAAAATAAATGTGGATAGTGTCCACATGTGGACACAGATGATGCCCCCGCTTGCATATCATATAGTTATAAAGGGACATAACTGAAGAACAGTAAAAGTGACGCTACCCAAATTTGAACTTGATCTGAGTTTTGTGTGTAAGTCTCATAACATTTGGTTGAGGCTAACTTAAGTTGAGAACAGAAACTAAAAATTCAGCAATTTTTAGGCAGTTAAGCTGCCTTATGCGAGCACCCTAGATTTGTGTTCTACCCAATAAATGCTGAAATACGTGCCATTGTTATTATCTAGCTGGCTATTATGTTATTTATAACTAATTGGACATTTTTTTAATACTTTTATTTCTGGAATACAAAAAATATGACCAGAAAAACCTTAAATGATCGTCGAACTACCCAAAACTTTTGAAGTTGCACATAGGAAGTAGTGCTCAATAGAAATCCGTACGTAGTTTATTATCCCCTGTGCTTTTGGCTGCGATGTCACAGAACAATTGTATGAAATTATGAAATATTTCATCGCCGAAAATCGGTAATTACAAGTCGTTTATATTTCCCAAAGCGCAAAATGCGCAGGAATATTGTTCATGTACAACAAATCTCTATGATAGAGGAAATAAAGTTATATACGTGGGCGGTAATTTTTAACTTATCTTGCCAAATAAGGTTGTTGTTATTTTATGAATGAAACGAGGTCATGAAACGGCGTCATGAAACAGATGCGGAAATCGACGTTGATGGGATGTTTAAAGTAATGTGGACAACTCGTCCCCGAGACAAGTCGGACCGAATCCACTCAAATCGTCTAAGAAGACAACTTTGACCGTTTGTCAGATTTACTTAGGGTTTCATAAAAGATTAGACTAACATGTCTAACGGAGCCATTAATCTTTTGTTTGTGCATTCGGGTCTATTTAGGAGTATTGGGAGGGGCATGAAGAAGGGAGGAGTTTACTATAGAACCCTATGGAATTTTATTTTTTTAAATTTTCAAATGACTATTTCTCGAAAACAGTAAGTGATAGACACATGCAGTCTTCAGTAATGAGAACAGGACAATAAAAAAAATCAACCAAAATATAGGACGAGTCCCTAGGGGTCATCACAACCCTCTTCAATTTGAAAATGTACTTTTATCTTGTAAACCGTCGCGATCCCCACCCCTAAACAATATATATACTTGTATGGGACAATAAAAGAAATCAAATGAAAATAATTTGGGGGAGTCCCGGGTGTCGTCCCATCCCCTCCTGTTTGAGAACTTGGAAATGGTCGAGATCCACACACCTAAACCATATATATTCATGTATTGGACAATATAACAAATCAAATGAAATATAGGGGGAGTCCCTGGGGTCACCCCACCCCCTGTTGTTTGAGAACTTGTAAACGGTCGAGATCCCCACCCCTAAACCATAAATATTCATGTATGGGACAATTTAACAAATTAAATGAAATATATGGGGAGTCCCTGGAGTCACCCCAACCCCTCAACTTGTAAACAGTCAAGATCCCCACCCCTACACCATATATATTCATGTATGGGACAATATAACAAATCAAATGAAATATTTGGGGAGTCCCTGGGGTCACCCACCCCCTCTTGTTTGAGAACTTGGAAATGGTCGAGATCCCCACCCCTAAACCATATGTATTCATGTATGGGACAATATAACAAATCAAATGAAATATAGGGGGAGTCCCTGGGGTCACCCCACCCCCTCCTGTTTGAGAACTTGTAAACGGTCGAGATACCAACACCTAAACCATATTTATTCCTGTTAATCATTTCAAAAAGATTTGAATGACATACAGGGTCAATATCCTAGGTGTCACATATGCATATCACTTTACTAGACCAAACCAATATGAACTGGACTTTGCCCAATGTCAGGAGACCATGGGAATGACGAATTATGGGGGCTTTGTTTGGGAGACTTCGTAACGGCATCCTGTTACAATTAATTCTTGTTTATTATAAAATTTTATTGATGCAAACAATGAGTCTAGGTTAATTGAATTTACTTTAATTATTTATTAAATTATTTCTGGGCCTATAATAATTTTCATTTATGGCTCATTTTAAAGAAAACATAAATCTTTCAAGCAGTGTAAAGCCCGAGAATGTTTGACCAACTGTTTTATAATCACCTGTCATTTTATTCCAAACTTAGTATGGAGTAACATCATGCACTTGGGGTGAAGATGGGGGTCATTTACATTGATATATGAGTTGCTTTTGAAAACCTTGATGAAATATTAATTGATTTGCCTTAATAATCAATTCATTTAATGAACATAAATGTACAATATACGAATGTTAAATGTTTGTTCTTTCAAGTCTTAAAAAAAAAAATTGAAGCAACACTGCCACAGTTTTCATAATTACGTTTGCCTTGGTTTTTGGTTAACTGCCTACAGCGCTTACAGTGCTTTGATTCTAGTTATAAAGGGGCATAACTCAATAATGGTTAAAGTGACACTACCCAAATTCAACTTGATCTGTGTTTTATCAGTGGAAGTCAAAATTAAACATTGCATTGTATAAAGCATTCATTGTAGTTGATTCAACTATAATCATGGACAAAGGAAGATAACTCCAATTTTAAAAATAACTTGATATTTAGAAGAAAATAAACATTTTGCAATTTTTTCCATTTATAAAGGGGCATAACTCTAGAACAGTTAAAGTGAAGCCACCAAAATTCAAACTTGATCTGTTTTTTGTGGTAATAAGCATTGTGTATAAGTTTCATAACATTTGGTTGAGGCAAACTTAAGTTAGAGGACGGAAACTAAAATTTTGCAATTTTTCCATTTATAAAGGGGCATAACTCTAGAACGGTTAAAGTGACGCCACCAAAATTCATACTTGATCTGTGTTTTGTAGGTAATAAGCCTTGTGTATAAGTTTCATAACATTTGGTTGAGGCAAACTTAAGTTAGAGAACGGAAACTAAAAATTTTGCAATTTTTCCATTTATAAAGGGGCAATACTCTAGATCGGTTAAAGTGATGCCACCAAAATTCAAACTTGATCTGTGTTTTGTGAAAATAAGCATTGTGTATAAGTTTCATAACATTTGGTTGAGGCAAACTCAAGTTAGAGAACGGAAACCAATTTTGGGACGTACGGACGGACAAGGGTAAACTTAATGCCCCCACCGCTACGGCGGGGGCATAAAAAATAAATGTTAAAACCAATTTGATTGTATGTATTTAATTTATTGTATTTGTTAACACTGCAATTTATGAATTATGCATTGATTTCATTTCGATTGTTTTTATTGTTGTAAGGTTTTTTTTATCAAATAAAAAATATCATGTTTTTAAGTGTCTCTTGACCTTTTATAGCTTACTATACCGATTGGGTTTTGCTTATTGTTGAAGGCCATATGTTGACCTATAGTTGTCAACTACTTTATTTGGTCTCTGTTGGAGAGTTGTCTCATTGGCAATAATACAACTTCTTATCTTCTTACTTTTATATCTATTTAGTTTTATATCGCCTGATTTTTGTTTCGACTGCGACAAAAGTCGCAGTATGTAAGACAGAGGGATTAATAAGGGCTGCAGTGGTGGAGGCAATGTAAATTATTTGTATAAAGCTTTATTTTTCAGAAGGTAAAAGACTTGGATGCCTCATACCTAGTATACAGATACCATTTGTTACGAAGTTTCCGTCTGTCCATTGTCCTTGACCTAATTTTCATGGTTCAGCGACTGCTTGAAAAAATATCAGTTATTTTCTCATGTGAATTTCTCACTTATTATGGGTAAAAGGATAACTATATTTGGTATATTAGTTCCTTGCAACATCAGACAGTGTTCGACTGACATTGACCTCATTAAATGGATCAGTGAGACGTTTCAGCATGTGCACTTATCTTATTTATTAAAGTGATATGACAAGTATATTTTGTATAAAGAATCATCGCAAGGTCAGGTCTACTCGTCAGTCTGGCAGAGATCGTATGACTTTGACCTCATTTTGTTGATCAGTGATCAAGGTTAGGTTTTTTTGTGGTCAAGTCCTAAACCATTTTCAATTGCTATTCATGTAAATACTTAGCTGACATTAATTGTTAATTGTAGTCTTTTTTTTATTAGTTTGACCTGCTTATTACCTAGTAGTCATTAGACTTCAATTTTTTATGAAATAACCATTTTTCAACAGATTGAGTAATATTGATATTATTTTTAGTCGTCAGTCAAATTTGATTTTAGATGGATATGGGTATCATTTTTTAAGTCACTTCAGGTTTTAATGCTACTCGTGTATTAAAGTAATTAAACATCCTTGGTTTTCAAATTTTAGGGTTGGAGCATTCCTGTTAAAGGTTTAGGTTTTAATGCTACTCGTGTATTAAAGTAATTAAACATCCTTGGTTTTCAAATTTTAGGGTTGGAGCATTCCTGTTAAAGGTTTAATACCAAATATTGTAAAAACAACAAGAGGTCACCATACAGCCTTCAACAATGAGCAAAACCTATAACATATAATAAGCTTTAATAGGCCAAAACCTAAAATAAATCAAATGAGAAAACCAACAGCTTCATTTTTCTAAGAGAACTATAAACAAACACAATTGTGGCAGACAACAACCAAGGATAACGAATAGATAACTGACTTCTGGCTTGGAACATACTCATAGAAGACTTCGGTGTATGCATATTGTAAATGCAACCAATACCTAATTTAAATTCTATGGTTCTACTGTAACAGACTGTCCTCCAGGTAAGTCTGTTACATAAGACCACATGTTTGATTGGTAGCATAAACATAAATTAAACTTTGAAACTAAATCCCAAGATTATGGGTTAAGTTTGGTTCCCAATGACTTTGTTTCAAATCAAATTTATAACATAATAAAATGCTTCGCTGGGGCGCAGCTTGATACGACCGCAGAGGTCGAACCCTGAACAGTTGGGGCAAGTATGGACACAACATTCAAGCTTGATACAGCTCTGAATTTGGATTGTTATTAAATATTTGACACAGCATAGGTTTCTGACACAGAAAGAATGTGGTCTAAGAACTTGAATTTTTTTAATTTACCTATTATGGTCCAATGTCCAAAATCAAAATACATGGTTAGATTCAGCATATCAAAGAACCCCATATATTCAATTTTTGTTAAAATCAAACAAAGTTTAATTTTGGACCCCAACTTGGACAAACTTGAAAACTGGGCCCATAATCAAAAATCTAAACACATGTTTAGATTCAGCATATCAAAGAACCCCAAGAATTCAATTTTTGCTAAAATCAAACTAAGTTTAATTTTGGACCCTTTGGACCTTAATGTAGACCAATTTAAAAAACGGGACTTAAAATTAAAAATCTAAATACACGGTTAGATTTGGAATATCAAAGAACCCCAATAATTCAATTTTTGATGAAATCAAACAAAGTTTAATTTTGGACCCTTTTGACCTCAATATGAACCAATTTGATAGCGGGGCCCACAAATAAAAATTCTAAATTCATGGTTAGATTCAGCATATCAAAGAACCCCATATATTCAATTTTTGTTGAAATCAAAAAAAGTTTAATTTTGGACCCCAACTTGGACCAACTTGAAAACTGGGCCCATAATCAAAAATCTAAACACATGTTTAGATTCAGCATATCAAAGAACCCCAAGAATTCAATTTTTGTTAAAATCAAACTAAGTTTAATTTTGGACCCTTTGGACCTCAATGAAGACCAATTTAAAAAACGGGACCCAAATTAAAAATCTAAAAACACTGTTAGATTTGGCATATCAAAGAACCCCAATAATTCAATTTTCGATGAAATCAAACAAAGTTTAATTTTGGACCCTTTTGACCTCAATATGAACCAATTTGATAACGGGGCCTACAAATAAAAAATCTAAATACATGGTTAGATTCAGCATATCAAAGAACCTCATATATTCAATTTTTGTTGAAATCAAACAAAGTTTAATTTTGGACCCCAATTTGGACCAACTTGAAAACTGGGCCCATAATCAAAAATCTAAATACATGTTTAGATTCAGCATATCAAAGAACCCCATATATTCAATTTTTGTTGAAATCAAACAAAGTTTAAATACTGGACCCTATCTTGGACCAACTTGAAAACTGGGCCCATAATCAAAAATCTAAACACATGTTTAGATTCAGCAAATCAAAGAACCCCTAGAATTCAATTTTTGTTAAAATCAAACTAAGTTTAATTTTGGACCCTTTGGACCTCAATGTAGACCAATTTAAAAAACAGGACCCAAAATTAAAAAACTTAATACACGGTTAGATTTGGAATATCAAAGAACCCCAATAATTCAATTTAAGATGAAATCAAACAAAGTTTAATTTTGGACCCTTTTGACCTCAATATGAACCAATTAGATAACGGGGTCCACAAATAAAAAATCTAAATACATGGTTAGATTCAGCATATCAAAGAACCCCATATATTCAATTTTTGTTGAAATCAAACAAAGTTTAATTTTGGACCCCAATTTGGACCAACTTGAAAACTGGGCCAAAAATCAAAAATCTAAATACATGTTTAGATTCAGCATATCAAAGAACCTCATATATTCAATTTTTGCTAAAATCAAACAAAGTTTAATTTTGGACCCTTTGGACATTAATGTAGACCAATTTGAAAACTGGACCCAAAATTAAAAATCTAAATACACTGTTAGATTCGGCATAACAAATAAATAAATGTGATCAAAGATTTTACAAATCTAATGCGCCATACTGTGCAATTAAAGATTACTTCTTGAAATTTTTCAATATTTGAAATTTGAAAAAAAAATAATATTTGAAGAATAATTCTTTTTAATTTCTGAAATCTGAAATGAGAAAAAATTGGCCCCCCACAATTTCTTTTTATCCCCCCCCCCCCTTTTTCCCCCAAAAAAATTCTTTCCCTCAAGATATGGTCATAATCTCAATTCAAATTTCCAATGGAGTTGGCAACCATAATTACCCATTTAAATTTACCATAGTGCTTACTTAATCTATTTTATAATAGAATTAATAAAAATATAGTGTCAAATCTTTCATATGGATTTTTTTGTAAAAAAAAAAGATGAAAACATTTGCAGATATTTTTACTGGTCTTCCTTTATAAATATGCATTTCTTTAAACATAATTTAAAAGCAGTGTAAGGGAAGTAACCAAAACGTTGTATTTGGATTACCTCCCTTACACTGTTTTAGATTATCTTTATTGTTCATTAACCATTACTTTATACATAATTTAAAAGCAGTGTAAGGGAGATAATTTCAATGATGTATTTGATTTATCTCCCTTACACTGCTTTAAATTATGTTTTGTACTAAAGTATTTGTCCATTAACCAGGACAACCTTGTTTTTCCCCCTTTTTTGCCCCTAATTCCTAAACGGTTTGAGCCATAACCCCCCAAAGCAAATCCTAACCATCCCTTTGTGGTATGGAAACTTGTAGTATAATTTCAGAGAGATCCATACACCGTTCCACAGTTATTGTCTGGAAACTAGAAAATGCTCATTTTTGGCCCCTTTTTGGCCCCTAACTCCTTAACTGTTGGTACCATAACCCCCAAAATCAATCCCAACCTTCCTTTTGTGGTATTTAACCTTATGGTCAAATTTCAAAAAGATCCATTCACTTAAACTAAAGTTAGAGTGCGAAAATCAATATGTATTCGGACGACGACGCCGGACGACGACGACGACGACGACGACGACGACGACGACGACGACGACGCCAACGTCATACCAATATACGACCACAAAATTTTTTTGCGGTCGTATGAAAATTAAGAATCTAAATACACGGTTAGATTCGGCATATCAAAGAACCCCAATAATTCAATTTTTGATGAAATCAAACAAAGTTTAATTTTGGACCCTTTTGACCTCAATGTGGACAAAGTTGAAAACGGGGCCCAAAAATCAAAAATCTAAATACATGGTTAGATTCAGCATATCAAAGAACCCCATATATTCAATTTTTGTTGAAATCAAACAAAGTTTAATTTTGGACCCCGATTTGGACCAACTTGAAAACTGGGCCCATAATCAAAAATCTAAATACATGTTTAGATTCAGCATATCAAAGAACCCTAAGAATTCAATTTTTGTTAAAATCAAACAAAGTTTAATTTTGGACCCTTTGGACCTTAATGTAGACCAATTTGAAAACGGAACCAAAATTTAAGAATCTAAATACACAGTTAGATTCGGCATATCAAAGAACCCCAATAATTCAATTTTTGATGAAATCAAACAAAGTTTAATTTTGGACCCTTTGGACCTCAATGTGGACCAATTTAAAAACGGGGCCCAAAATCCAAAAACTAAATACATGGTTAGATTCAGCATATTAAAGAACCCCATGAAATCAAGAATAAAACCCCATTGAAATTGGTCAAGAAATAAGCAATTTATAGGAAGTATCTTCTTTTGCACAATCCTGTGCTATTAAATATTTCTTGCTATTGCGCAATACTGTACAATTGACAATTTCTTGCTATTGCGCAATATTGTGCTATTGGATATTTCTTGCTATTGCGCAATACTGTGCAATTGAAGATTTCTTGCTATTGCGCAATACTGTGCAATTGAAGATTTCTTGCTATTGTGCAATACTGTGCAATTGAAAATTTCTTGCTATTGCACAATACTTATTATATAATAATTTACACATCCTGTTTGGTGTGTATCTCCTACCATATCATTATTATTTGATTTTAAATATAAATCAGAAATAACCAACTTAAAATGGAAAATTTTAAAAGAAACAAAAAAGGAAAAAAAGAAAAAAAAGGAAAAAAAAATAAATCCCCCCCCCCAAAATTTTTTGAACCCCCATTATGATTCATCACCCCCAAACTCAATCCCAGCCTTCCCTTTGTGGTATGGTACCTTGCAGAACAATTTCAGAGAGAATCATACACTTGAACACAAGTTATTGTCTGGAAACTAGAAAAAAATGTGTTTTTTGGCCCCTTTTTGGCCCCAAATTCCTAAACGTTTAGGGCAATTACCCCCAAACTCAAACCCAGCTTTCCCTTTGTGATATGGAACCTTGTAGTACAATTTCAGAAAGATCCATACACTTACACACAAGTTATTGTCATGAAACTAGAAAAATGCTTGTTTTTTGCCCCTTTTTTGGCCCCTAATTCCTAAAATTTGGAGGCAATTACCCCCAAAATCAATCCCAGCATTCCTTTAGTGATATGGAACCTTGTGGTACAATGTCAGAGAGATCCATACACTAACACACAAGTTATGTCTGGAAGTTACAAAAAAGCTTATTTTTGGCCCCTTTTTGGCCCCTAATTCCTTTACTGTTATTACCATAACCCCCAAAATCAATCCCAACCTTCCTTTTGTGGTATTGAACCTTGTGGTAAAATTTCATAAAGATCCATTCACTTAAACTAAAGTTAGAGTGCGAAAACCAATGTGTCTTCGGACGACGCAGGACGACGCCGGACGACGACGACGACGACGACGACGACGCCAACGTCATACCAATATACGACCACAAAAATTTTTTTGCGGTCGTATAAAAATAAGATGTGGTATGATTGCCAAGACTTGAAGAGACCACAAACAACTACAGACCACCATATAGCGTTCAACAATGAGCAAAACCTATACAGTATAGTAAGCTATAAAAGGCCCTGGATATCAACTTGTGAAACAATACAACAGAGAAAACTAAAGGCCTGATATAGGATAAAAATATCCAACCGACAAAATGACAAGGATTTTTAAAACAACTATGGATCACTGTATGTCCTTCAATTATGACCAATACACATACCCTTACAGGACGCTTTAAATGTTGTGTTTTGTGTACTGTTGTTTGTCTTTTGGTTGTTTTCCATTTCATTGTCAGTTTGTTTTCTACTTAAACAAGTTTAAATATCCCTTCGGTTTCTTTTGCCTCTCTTTTTTAAAAGGTCCTGGATGACAAAATGTGAAACAATTCAACAGAGAAAACAAATGGCCTGATGTAGGCTATATTTATTAAATAAAGACCATTATCATGGGCAACAACAAACAACAACCACTGGACTATAAGCTCCTGGCAGGACTAACATGTTTGTGACCACTCAACCCTCCCCTAACCTAGGACAGTAGTTTTACAACCATCAAAGCCAAATGTTGTTAAAAGCTAAAGAAAAATATACAAAACGTGTTTAACTTGTAGTTTTTTTATTTTCTCTGAAAGCTGAAATTACAATAAACCTTCTGAACAAGATCTGTATATAAAATGCTATTGATGAGAAAAGCAGATATCAAATCATATTGCATAGAAAATTCAATGTTATACAAATAAAACAAAAATATGTTAACAGTCTTGAAATCATGGCAGTGTCTGGCAAATGATATCACAGATAAGGTGTATTATACCAGAAATTTGTTGTCGTTAGTAAAGTGGTATCATGGCAGACCACAGATGTTGAGATTTTCTAACGGCAATAAATTTCACAGCTAAAAATTATAAAACTAACACAAATATATACATGGCAACTCTCATAGGATAGAAAAATCTATCTCCATACAAACATTACATTCTCCCTGATGTGTAAATTATAAAAGGAATGGTCCCTTCCATAGGACGAATACCAAAAAACAAATCATTATACAAAATATATTGCACAAATAAAAATCATTGTTAATTGATAAAAATATCCACACTATTCCGTCCTAAATGTGTTTCAAAAGTCTCTAAAATAGTTTTACAGCACCATAACATTGCACAACATGATAAATGCTATTATAAAAAAATGCTTATGAAAATATGAAGCTTAAATGTAAAATGATTTTAGTTAAAGAAGCAAACTTCTCCAAGTTTAATTTTAAAGTCTTGGTCAGGTGCCCCTACATCATATACACCTATATCCATTACTGGTAAGGATTTTGTTCTCTTTGTATTGATCTCTAGAACTGTCCTTCCCCATTGACCATTCTTAACCTGTAGGTAAAAATAGAACAACTTATAATAACTTTCAAATCAGTTTATATATACATTTATTAAGTTTTTTACTGAAAAGTAAGAAGAATGTCGAATGTTTTACTGTTATTTTTTATCACACAGATTAACAAATCTTTTTTATGACATGCTTTATCCTTTTGTAGTTTGTCACTGAAGAAAGATTTGTATGATCAAAATCATTTAAACTCTGGTGGATGGTTCTCCTACTGGCAATCATACCACATCTCCTTATTTTTATATGAAAATACATGATAATCGTATAAAATATGTCAAAATTGTTGACCAAAATGTCTTATTTTTCTATGTTGTTTGGTTGTTGTCTCATTTGAGTATAACACACATCTTTTTATTCATATTGAAATTTATAAAATAACAAAAATTCTACTTTTTTTTACCTTGCATGAATCTTCTTCCACCTTGTATCGGATGCTCCTCTTGCCTTTAATGGTCATTGTAGTATCATCAAATCCAGAAAGTTGAATAGATTTATCCTCACCCTTACCAATGGCAATGGAGTTTTTACATTCATATGTAATTTTCTGGTTAACCTTTTGATGAAGATACTGAAGGAATTTAATCTGTGGTTTGATGAAGGCACTTGGATCATAGGTAAACTGTAAAGAAAATCATGTGATTATTTTACTCATTTTGATCTAGGCGTAATGATAACTTCCACTACAATGAGGTACTGTGGATTCATTATTAATCATGGGATACCTATTTTCCTGGATTTCCTGGGTATAGGTAACCACGAATTTAAATGTTCAACGAAGTTCAAATTTACTGTAGGTTTGAATGCAGACTTTGTTGAAACCACGAAATCAAATATCAACGAAAACACAAAATTTCCCCAATCCACGAAAATTAGTACTAACGAAAATAAATGAATCCAAAGTAGCTTAACAACTTTGACGTAACCAATGAAGGTCATGTACAATTGGAAAAAATTTAACTACTATACCATAGAAATTTCCTGATAATAAGTGCATATACAAATAAAAGAATGTGTCTGAGGATACAAATGCCCAAGCTTGCTTTTCAAACGAAAATGTGACGGATGGAAAGATGGAAGGACGGACGGTCAAGGGTAACACTGAATGCCCCTATCACCTTGCGGCGGGGGCATATTAAATTCTTACACTTCTAATCAGTGACATTCTGGCGGTTTTTTTCAGTTTAGCAGTTATCTGCCCTTACTACTTGTGTATTAGTATGTGCATGACTTAAAGGAAGCTTTCTGTTTGTCAATTTTAAGCTTACAAATAAAGTAATTGTGCTATAACTAAGGTTGCAACTTCCTCGAGCAAAGCTGACCTAGAAAGTAGACCTGTTCAACTTAATCCTTTTGGTTTTTATGTGTTACAATGTTTTATATTTTTAGTCATCCTGATGAAGGTTATACAAGTGAAGGGTTGTGTACAAGAAAATCATATGTTTTTATCTACCACTGGATTGGTACCTCTACTGGTGGACTATCCATGAAGTATCAGGTATTTCAGTATTGGCATTTTTAAATAATATTTTTGGTTTGTTTTGGCTTTCTAACTTAGAAATCATGTATTTATGCTCAAAATAAGATGGCAGCCCTTTCTGGCAAATTTGATCTAAGAACCTTTTGGCTGTTCTAATTAGCTATAGGTCATTTTGTTTTTTATGTACTCAAATATTTTAGGTTTTTAGCTTTTCAAACTTTTGTAAGGGTATATGATAAACATAGTAGGTAAGTAAGTCAATAGTTTATTTTAAGAGGGCAGCACAGTTAATACTAATAAAGCTCATCTTCCCTGAGGCCCTTAAACAATATATCATACATTGTACAATGATTTTCTTGCTTATACAATATATATGCTGTATACTTTTCTTTAACCATATCAATAGTTTCCAGACTTTTACACTAGGTAGTAAAGAATTCCTTGATATGTTGTCTATATTATTCCACATGGTTGAAAGCAAGAAAATCTCATTTTCTGTTTTGACAAATTATGACTCCAATGATCATTTCTGAAATGATGCAGTGAAATAATTTCTTATTTTGAGAATAACAGGTAGCATATAGGTAAGACCATCAATTTCTGGGGCAGACATGTAGATATCTACCCAGTAAATTCAGAAATTATTTCGAGGTTTTTATTAACGATAGGATTGCAATAATAAGAAACTCGCATTTTGATATCTGATATCTGATACATATATCTGTATACAGTTTTTTCTTCAAAAATTGTAATAATAAATGCATGCAATAATTTCTGAGTTTACAGTCACTACTTCCACTGCAGAAACAGTGATATTTTACCTTGTATCCTAGTACATCAGAAAGCCAGGTGTGGGAAGTTGTTGGTACAACCTTAACATTCTCAATCTGAAAAAAAATATCAAATAATAAATTTTAAAATAAATGTATTAAATTAACATAAGAGGTATAATTACTTGATAAAAAACAGTTCACTGTTCTCAAGTTGTTGTTATATTTGATGTATAAGTACAGGCACTTTTTCTTTTTTCACAGTTTTCTAAAGTTATGGGTGGCTGTTAAAAAAAATTTAATTTCATAAACAGTTTCTGTAAAATGTACTCTTTTTTGTTCATAGAAGAAGAAACTATGTTGAATTGATTATTTTTTTTCAATCAGTATGTGAATACTAACCACTTTAATTTCTGGTTGTACACATGTGAATGTTCTCTTCCTCTTGAATTCACATCGTACTTTTATAACATCATATATTGGTCCAAGGTTAGGGTTAATCCAATATTCACCTGTAAAAAAAAGCTTTCATGTTAAAAAGGATTCAAATATAGTCTCTTAGCATATCAAATCCAGACTTTGTCTGAACATTTACCTTGGACTTTTCACCCTTTTTTTTTAATGAAAATGCTGTCTCATTAAAAATGATTCAAATATATCCTCTTTGAATATCGAATCCAGACTTTGTCTGAACATTTACCTTGAACTTGTCACCTTTTTCTTTAATTTCATTATCTCAATTATAATGATTTAATATTCAAAACTATTTTTAATGTATTAAATTATTAAGAATACATTTACAGACAAGATGTCTTCTGTTTCACATATGGAGGAAGATATGACAAAGTTTTTTTAAGTGCATGTTATAACTCCCAGGTTTGTATGTTTTGCAATGAGATTTTGAGTTTGGTTTGCATATAAATTTGTACTCATTTTCGTAAAGTGTGTTTTGGTTAATTATGATATTTCAGTAAGGTTTGTTTTATGGTATTCCTTCCACGACTAATGGTGGATTCAGAAAGGGGGTGTACAGGGCATACCCCCTTTTGATTGGAGAATATATAATTTTTAGCATATAAATGTCAAAAATTTGTTTGCCTCAATCTGCTCAGAGGTATCTATTCAGTTTTCAGAAATTACACCAATCCCCTGCCCATGATCAAAGGCTCTTCTGCAATCATCATAACATCTCCCATGTATAAGATCTGTTTCAGTGAAGAAAGGAAATATTTCCAATAAAGTGGATTTATTATTATTCGTGGGATACCAATTTGTGGTGGATTTCTTGGGTATAGGTAGTGGTAAACCACAAAATAAATGTTTATCAAAGTACAAATATTCTATGCAGACTTTAATAGGCAAGACAACAAAATCAAAAATCCATGAAAACACAACTTTTCCTCAATTCACAAAAATTGGTATCCACGTTACCGGTTAAAGATGATCGATTTCAATGGTTATTCATTAATAACAACTGTGTCTAGTTTTGACCGAAATGACCTTGCACATACTAAAGTCCTATAAAACAGATGGTTGTGTGATTCATTCCTATAAAACAGATGGTTGTGCGATTCATTCCTATAAAACAGATGGTTGTGTGATTCATTCCTATAAAACAGATGGTTGTGTGATTCATTCCTATAAAACAGATGGTTGTGTGATTCATAAACCATTTCAAGGATTAAACTAAAGGATAATAAATCAGCTGTCAAATATCTATTATCATAGATCATGAAAGATACTGAATTATAAATAACCACTTACCATCCTCAATATCTGGATTATGAAGTTTGAGATCTTCACAGGTGCGAGCTGGAGAATCTTGTTCACCAGTAGGATTCCTGATCTTTTCTATTTGAAGAGTAACTTCTTCCAATGCTTTAAACACATCAGCATCAATCTGCAAATAAAATGGTTTTTTTTTCAAAAATTTATTTTTTAAAGCCTTTTTCAAGAATGATAATTTTTTGGTAAAAATGGTTTGCCAATACACCATTACATAATAAGGTGACGCAAAGAAATTTTATTGCGAGGATGTGTTCAAAGTTGATAACAGCAAAACTAATGACCATATCATATGTTGTGTATGCTATAGAGGGAAAAATTGCTAATTTTAAAGTATAGAACATTAAAAGCATACAATACTATAAACCAACTTATTTCTTAGTGGATACTTTATTTTTCTGTTAGCTGTTTCCAGCCGACTTTGCAGGGATTATATTTACAATTTTCAGATTTTTCTGATGTATTTATATAAGGTTAGATCAAAGTTTTGATATATTCACGACATTTCATATTCGTGTTATTTTATATAAATCTCTCACAAAAGTAAGTTGGTTAAAAGAAGGCCACACCTCTAAAAGTAACAGATCTGTTGCATTTAAGATCTGTTTTTAATAAAAACTATTAATATACCTCTTCTTCAGGAATTGGGTCATCTCCTTGCCAACCTTTGTTTCCTTGTGCTGGGTTTTGGAACCACTGACTCATTGCTCCACCATAAATGTTTCGTCCTGGTCGACCCTAAAATAAAATATGCACCATTATAGCAATCATAAATAACACAGTTATGTTACACAACTGATCTTTTAAAAGATTTCAAACTTTGTATTTAATTTGTTTATACTTCAGTGTTTTTCTCATTTTTAAAACAATTTTTATAAAATTAAATAAAATATATATTGTCATAATCAGTATCTAAAAATGATTATTTAAGAGTTAAATTAATTACTGCATTGATCAATTAAAAAGTATGGGAGAAGTTAGTCCATAAAAGACAAAAATTTCAGCAAATGATTAATAAAATGCTTCGCTGAGCGCAGCCTAATACGACCGCAGTGGTCGAACCCTGAACAGTTGGGGCAAGTTTAGACACAATATTCAAGCTTGATACTGTCTGAATTTGGATTGTGATCAAATTTCGACATAATATAGGTTTCTGACACAAAATAAATGTGGTCAAAGATCTTAAAAATTTGAAATGGGACATTTAATTTACCTAGAATGTTCTGATATTCAAAATCTAACAACATGGTTAGATTCAGCATATAAAAATTTAGTTGAAATCAAACAAAGTTTAATTTAAAATTATTTTGGACCCTTCAAACCTAAATATGAACTAATTTGAAAACAGGGCCCAAAATAAAAATCTAAATGCACAATAAGATTCAGCAAATCATACAGCCGCAATAATTCAGTTTTTTGATGAAATCAAACAAAGTTTAATTTTGGACCCTTTTGACCTCAATGTAGACCAATTTAAAAATGGGGCCCAATATCCCAAAAAATTATACAAGGTTAGCACCCCCAAAAATTAAAGACTTAATTTATCCCATCGAAATTGGTTAAAACATTTGTATTTGTTTTCAATTAAAGATTTCTTGCTATTGCACAATACTGTGCAATTGAAGATTTCAAGCTATTGTGCAATACTGTGCAATTGAAGATTTCTTGCTATTGCACAATACTGTGCTATTGCGAAATACTGTGCAATTGAAGATTTCTTGCTTTTGCCCAATACTGTGCTATTGCGCAATACTGTGCAATTGAAGATTTCCCCACCCCCCCCTCCTATTGGAGTAATTACCCCCAAACTCAATCCCAGCCTTCTCTTTATGGTATGGAACCTTGTAGTACAATTTTAGAGAGATCCATACATTTACACACAAATTATTGTCCGGAAACTACAAAAATGGTTGTTTTTGGCCCCTTTTTGGGGCAATTAACCCCAAACTCAATCCCAACCTTCCTTTTGTGGTATTGAACCTTCTAGTAAAAATTTATAGAGATCCATTCACTTAAACTAAAGTTATTGTTCGGAAACCAAATGTGTCTTCGGACGATGACGAGACAACGACATCATAGCATTATACGACGCAAAATTTTTTTTGCGGTCGTATAAAAATTACTTGCTTCCTCATAGTATTGCAAGATACCTTGCTACAGTAGTGGAACATATTGCTACACTATTTACGGCAGTAACTTTTTCAGTGAAATTTCATATTTATGAAAGCCTCGAAAATTTGCTGAAATTTGGAAACATGATGTTAATGTTAAGTGTACATTTGACTGTCAGATGTTAATGTTAAGTGTACATTTGACTGTCAAAGAAAAAGGGAGATAAGTTAAGTGTTCATTTGACTGTCAGGGAAAAAGGGGGATAAATCATACTTACAGGTGGTCCTGGATTTCCGGCTTCTCCCATTGATCCCTGAAAGAATATAATAAAAGGGTTAAAGGATGCACAGATTTGTTTTTACAAAAGAAAATGAATCTATAATGAACAACTTAATGTATGCAAATAGAAAAGTTTATATACTCTATAAAACAGGTAAAAAGGAGGAAACAATCTTTAAAAAACTCCATATTGAGAGGTCAATAACTTCATTTGGTTTTAAAACTCTGTGATGTTTCAATGATCTGTATTTGGATGAAAATTAAGAGGAGTTGATTAGACAATTTTGGTATCGTCTTTTGAACAATTTTCTGACAAATATCTAAATTCCAAAGTCTGAAAAAACACTCATAAATTTTTTTTTTTTAACTGCAAACTAAACGAAGACACATTTTTCCTGATCAAAATATCACCTTAGTTTCTGAATATATTTGATTTAAATTGAGCCTTTCTTGTCAATTATTATGAGAGAAAAGTATAATGCCATACCCTGCGTCCGTCTTCTCCTGATGGCCCTCTTCTACCCTAGAATTAAAAAATTATGTTGTATTATTACTTCACATGATACAACATACGAATAACATTTTTTTAAAATAAACAGTCATCTGTAAAAACAAGCCTTCTTAAAAAGATGAGAGGATACTTTGTAGGACACGAAAGCACAAACACACAATCCTAAAAATAAAAAGTTTTTCCAATTCATTATGTTTTAAATTTCATAATGCACAAATGTTCTTACCTTTAATGTTAACAGCTATTGTTATATGATCTTAATATATACATGTACTTTGATTTCTATGCATATTAATTGATTTTCTAAAATAAAAGACTCCTTGAAGGAAACCTTGTTGAAAATAAAGCAAAATTATTTGGACGACATTATCAGTCTCAAAATATAGGGTTCCATTTCTTTTCTCATCTTATGAATTTTCAAGTGATATCCCTTGCCTAGCTATCTCTACTCTAAAAGATATGTCTCATTATAGTTGAGGAAAGCTTTCTTTATTCATTTAAGGTCACTGGTAAATAAATCATAATCAAGTGAATATTGCTATGAGTAGATTTTTATGTATGCAGATTTTTACGGAAATAAATAAACTTGAGGACAAAAAAATGTTACATACTGGTGGTCCGGGAGGTCCAGAAGGTCCTGGGTGCCCATCAGTTCCAGGATCTCCACGTCTTCCATCAGGACCCTGAAAAAAGTTAAGGTATAAAATCAATCAATAAATTACAAGATTGTGAAACATGATTATTTTAAGTATCAATATTTCCTGTCTAAATTCACAATATACTAACATATTATTTTGTAGAAATAAAAAGAAAAGATGTGAATACCTTTTGTCATTTTCCCTACAAATGTTAAGAAAATCATATAGTTTTCACATTTCATATATCTAAGGGACTGACCAAGCTCAGTCCCTTTTCTAATTAATCCAATTTTGGATCCATTGACTGAGTACACATGAAGTAAGTTTAATGCCATTTTACATATGTAATAAAGAATAAGGTAAGACATTTACAGACAATTAAAATGATAGGCTGAACTACTTACTCTTTGTCCTGGGGCTCCTTGTGGTCCCAAGGATCCTGGTTCTTTTACAGACAATTAAAATGATAGGCTGAACTACTTACTCTTTGTCCTGGGGCTCCTTGTGGTCCCAAGGATCCTGGTTCTTTTACAGACAATTAAAATGATAGGGTGAACTACTTACTCTTTGTCCTGGGGCTCCTTGTGGTCCCAAGGATCCTGGTTCTTTTACAGACAATTAAAATGATAGGCTGAACTACTTACTCTTTGTCCTGGGGCTCCTTGTGGTCCCAAGGATCCTGGTTCTTTTACAGACAATTAAAATGATAGGCTGAACTACTTACTCTTTGTCCTGGGGCTCCTTGTGGTCCCAAGGATCCTGGTTCTCCTACTGCACCCTAAAACAGTACAAACATCACTAATTAGTTTTCTTTCATAGTCTGTATTTGGCATTACAAAAAATATATTATAAGTGCAAGACCAGTTGCTGTCATCTAGTATTTCATGCATTCAAAGTACATCTGATGAAAGATTTTTGACATTTTTTAAACACTTAAGTGTCTACTTCAGTTGATTCAATTAGTTTATGTTAAAGATTTGAACTGATTTTGTCATGAAAGAAGCTCAAAATCAGCTTAGATATGAAAAATCTATCAAATATGCCATTAAAGTCACTTTTCAGATGGTTTTTGTCCAAAATGGAAGTGGCCGCATTCATGTTCAGTCTCAACATTTACATATGTTATGTATTATCATTAAATACAACATATATTCAAATATCAATACTGAACACAAGTGCGGCCACTTCCATTTTTAGACAAAAACAGTCTTAAAAATAGCACAAATGCTAAAATTGTGAAGATTTCGGTATTTTTGCATGAAATAATGATGCATGTCCATTTTATTGTAAAAAACTGCCCATATTTATGTGACAAAAGTATTCTACTTTCCAATAAAAAGCTAAGTTTACATTTTTAACAGCTTTGTAAAATGCTATATTTTGGGGCAAAAGAGGGGTCTTACCTATCTTACTCCTTTAGTTCAACAGATTTAACAGATGTAAGAAGTTCATATATAATCTCTATGCTCCTCTTCAATGCAGTGTAGTTTTTTATAATTTATGTTCACCTTGGAAATGACTAAAGATAATTCAGATTTAGAGAAAATCTTAAGAGCTTCTAATTGACAGCCAGAATTTCCATTCTATTCTTACTTTACAATTGCAAAATATTGTATTAATGTTCAGATCAAGTGGAAATTTCTATAACTTAGTGGATAGGTTCATTCAGTAACTGATCTAATATTACCATAAAATATCGTCAAAAAAATCAGAATACTTGTAACACACTTTTCTCTGCTAAGGCGATGATGTAAAGTTCCGAGTCTATGGTTCTTAACCCAACCCAACTTTCATTTACAGTTCAAAGGTTACAAGAATATTTTCAAATACAATTTCTGTTAGATAATACTGTTAATTAAGAAATAATTGCAAGGTTTTTATTAATGCGAATAATGGGACTGGGTTAGTATTACAATAATAAGAACTCACATTCTGATATCTGAAAATACAGATTTCTCATTTTTGTCCATTCTTCAAAAATCGCAATCATAAATGCACACAATAATTCTGAATTTACAGTAACTAATGCAATTACTGAAGGTAAATTTAATATCTGAACTATGTGATACAACTAAAGAGTTTACAGGAATGATTATCAATATTATGGAGAAAACTAACCTCTGGTCCAGGTAATCCGTTCATGCCTTGTAGTCCAGGATCTCCCTTGTCTCCCTAGATATTAGAAAATGTCAGAATATACAAAACAATATATATTATAAATATGTTTAATCATGCCAAAAAAGGCTCTCTCATTTATTTACAAATAAAATGAACTCAAAAAGTTAAAAAATAACTTTTTCGGAGTAATATGATCTAGTCAATCTAAAACTATTAAAATTCCATGAAAATAAATTGTTATTTGTCAAAAGTCTACACTAGCAGTCTAAACTAGTATATACTGTATATGAAACTAACATAAGTAAGAGACAGATTAACATAAGCACTTGTTGCTTGTTTCTGAATCCTTCTTGCCACAATGTGAATTTTTATTGCATAAGATGCATTTAATTCCTTATTAAAATATTGCTTACACTAACTAAACTTACATTAGTTGAATGTATAGAAATGCATTTTATTGGAAAAATTCAAAAAAAATCAAATATATCTAGAAATTGCGTATCAACTTACATTTTCTCCATTTCCACCTCTTTCTCCAGTGACTCCTTGTGGACCTTGTGGTCCCTAAAATTAAAACAATGTTTAAATAATAATTACCTTACATGTATGTTTCATTATAATACGTTATTTTGATTGGCTAACAGCAATTTCGCGTCATTCTGAAATTAACCATCATTTCAAAATGAAATGCATTCATGATGACACAAGCAACAACAATAAAGTGCACAGGTAAATAAAAGAGAAACTTGATAGAAATCGTGTTTTCATGATCCTAGCAAAGAAATGTAATTATAAGTATTGAATGCTTCTTTTAGTAATTTTATAGGGTTGTAAAAGTGTTGACCATGCGCACATTTTTAGAAAAAGTGTACTTCGGTCAACGCTTTTATACACCAATAAATTTACAAAAAGAAGCATTCAATTCTTAAAAAAACACTAGGTTAGTTGACATTTTTGACTTCTTTGCTTAAATTTTTTTAGGTTCTTTTCTGTAAATCTTTTTTGGTGAATAACAAAATGTCTTCTTTGCTTAAATTTTTTTAGGTTCTTTTCTGTAAATCTTTTTTGGTGAATAACAAAGGTTGATAGAAAATGTAAATAAACTGGCTGAGTAATTGATATTTTGTTTGGTGTATCATCAAAATAATAGGAAAACTACCTCACTTTTTTCTTTTGTTGAAATATATAAAGATCTAAATGAAAGTTTGCACATGACTAGACTCTAAATAGATATATATTCTAAGATTACAGAACACAATAGTTTTATATATAGCAGCGATTTATATTCAAGTTACTTATCTACTCACAAAATTTGCAAAAATAAATCGCTTGTGAAAATTAGTTGGTTTTACAGCATTACTTTACAGATGTATCATAATTCATTTTAATTGGTTTGATTACAGTACAAACTATTACTTAAAATTACTTACAGGTGTACCTCTGCCACCGGATTGACCAGGTGCTCCATTTGGTCCGGGCTCACCCTAAAAAAACATCAGATAATATAACAGGAAAATTGAATAAAAACTAAAATCAGATTAATGATGACAGAAAATCAGAGTTTGATACGAATAAGTGATACAACTAGAGGCTCTCAAGAGCCTGTGTCGCTCACCTGTATTTACTGATGCTTTGGAAATCATGTAAAATAAGGTTAAAATCATAATTAATAGTATTAGATATTAGATATTGTAATGATATTTAAGATAATAACAAAAAACTGCAAAATTTCTGTAAAATTACTAACTCAGGGGCAGCAACCCAACAACAGGTTGTCGGATTCGTCTGAAAATTTCAGGGCAGATAAATCTAAATCTGATGAACATTTTTGCCACCTGTCAGATTTGCTCTAAATGCTTAAACCCAAAACTGCATTTTACCCCTATGTTCTACTTTTAACCAAGTTGGCCATGATGGTTGGAAGGCGGAGTCATCGGACAAATTCTTTAAACTAGATACCCTAATAATGATTATGGCCAAGTATGGTTAAATTTGTCTCAGTAGTTTTAGAGAAGAAGATTTTTGTAAAAGATTGCAAAAATTTACGAAAAATTGTTAAAAATTTACTATAAAGGGCAATAACTCCTAAAGGGGTGGACAGACAATTTTAGTCATGTGACTTATTTGTAGATCTTACTTTGCTGAACATTATTGCTGCTTACAGTTTATCTCTATCTATAATAATATTCAAGATAATAACCAAAAACTGCAAAATTTCCTTAAAATTACCAATTCAGGGGCAGCAACCCAACAATAGGTTGTCAGATTTGTCTCAAAATTTCAGGGAAGATAGATCTTGACTTGATAATCAGTTTTACCCTATGTCAGATTTACTCTAAATGCTTTGGTTTCAGAGATATAAGCCAAAATCTACATTTTACCCATATGTTCTATTTTTAGCCATGGCGGCCATCTTGGTTGGTTGGCTGGGTCATCGGACACATTTTTAAACTAGATACCCTAATGATGATTGTGGCCAAGTTTTGTTAAATTTGGCCCAGTGGTTTCAGAGGAGAAGATTTTTGAAAAAAGCTAACGACGATGGACGACAACGACGATGGACGCCAAGTGATGAGAAAAGCTCACTTGGCCCTATGGGTCAGGTGAGCTAAAAAATGTGATAATTTTATTTGCCTTTTCTGCAATGTGAAACGTAATTTGGACATTTCCATTGGCTATATGTTAGGTTATTCATGATTTTCAAAGGATGAATGATGAACATTTCCTCCATGGCAATTGATATATGCGATTTCTTCAATAAAATACAAAACACTCACACTTTCCACCTGAAAATACTGTTTTTGTCATATTTGATAACATGCTAAAGCATACACAATTTTCTTTAAATGCCTGATGTTAAAGTTTGATGCCCGAACAGGACCTATGATGCCATAATGGTATGTGCCAAAGACAAGATCAACAAGTCACGAAATTTTCTATTTAACACAAAGAGAGTATGTACCAAAAGAAATAAGTTTAACAACTTGTGAAAATCCGATATTTCTTGATTTCAACTCTTGTTATTTAAATTAATTAGTAATAATAAACTGGTCAAAGGTTCCTTTATTATCATATTGTAATTAAACAACTGGAGTTAAATATCAGGAAATATCTAATTCTCTCTCCTTAATAAACCTATAAATATGGTACAACAGAGGTTATTTGTTGTAAGTAACATCTATATATAAACTTTATAAAAACATTTTAACATACCCTTTCTCCACGTTGTCCTGCAGGTCCAGCGGGTCCTGGGCCTCCTGGAGGTCCCTACAAATAAAAATTCCCAGGTACAATTTGACTTGTATACATTAGTGTTAATAATGAATAATATATATTATTACCGGTATGGATATATGAGATCAATAAAACAAAAAAAACTTTCCCTTATACTTTCATGCAGAATTTGACAAAACCACAAAATCAAGTTCAACAAAACAAAAAACACTTTCTCTTATGCTTTCTTTCAGAATTTGACAAAACCACAATATCAAGTTCAACAAAACAAAAAATAAAATTTCTCTTATGCTTTCTTTCAGAATTTGACAAAACCACAAAATCAAGTTCAACAAAACAAAAAATAAAATTTCTCTTTTGCTTTCTTTCAGAATTTGACAAGACCACTTAATCAAGTTAAAAAAAAAACATTTTTCCACTGATTTATCAAATTCTAGTCATCTAAATATTATTTAAATATATATCAAAATAAGAATATTTACATTAAATCCCATTAATCCAACTGCTCCTGGTGGTCCTATATCACCATCAACTCCTTTTTCACCTGATTGTCCTTGAAGACCAGGTGCACCATCTGGTCCAGGGGGTCCCTTGAAAGAAAAGGAATGTTCAGTATCAAATTTACTCACAAATGCAAGTAGCATACTTTTGTATAGAACATGATTTGACTATAATTTGAAACTGTACAAATGATGATTTACATCAAGCTAATGATTTAAAACAGAGCTTTACCCTCTTTGCTGCCAAGCAATAACTGTGAAGGCTAGAATATGGAATATCAAATGAAAGTTTTTTGGTATAAATAACTTAAATCTTTTTCCTTAATTCTATAGTCATTCTAAAAACCAGTCTACTTACTGGATGTCCAACATCTCCTATGGGTCCAGGGCTACCGGTTACACCTTGTGGTCCTGCTTTACCAGGACTACCATCTTGTCCAGGTCTTCCAGCATCTCCTTGCATTCCCTATAAAGACAAAAATAAGTTAGAATAATACAGCATTTTTCTTGACATGGAAGCATATACATACCTATTTGATAGTTTAAACACTTATGTATCCAATTAATCATACTCAATTCCACTTTTTCCTGTCTTAATAGAAGGAAATGGTCTTCAAATTTGCTAAGAGTTAAATCATCAGAATCCTGGAACATGTCATCTTGCCTTTTATAACTCTAACATTTAAAAGGTTAAATCTCCACATCTTCAAGTTCCTCCTTCACAATTGAATTTATTTTCTTCTTTTATGACTATTATATCTTAATTTAATTATAGGATTGACTCACCGCTGGTCCTGGTGGACCATTAGGCCCTCTTTCTCCTGGTTGTCCTGAGTCTCCTGGCTGTCCACTTTCACCTGGTGGTCCAGATGCTCCAAGAGGTCCAGTTTGTCCCTAAAAATACAATGTAAATGTAAAACAATAAATGATTAAGACCCCTGATATATATATATATATATATATATTACTCCACACAAAACTCAGAAAAAATCAAACATAATGCAATAGCTGTTATGATAAAATAAAATCTATTAAGTTTAGATGACTATATGCCATTAAAACTATTTCGTTAATTAGAACAAATTTAATTGAGTGATAATAGCAGTGTTTATAGCAGGCTCAGTATATCATAATCATTTTTTAAGGATATTTTATTTTACAAAGAATTCAGTACTGTGGACTCATTATTAATCTATGGGACTAATTTTTCATGATTTCGTGGATATAGATAGGTTAATCGTATGGGACCAATTTTTTATGATTTCATGGATATAGGTTAATCGTATGGGACCAATTTTTCATGAATTTCGTGGATATAGGTTAATCGTATAGGACCAATTTTTCATGATTTTTCGGATATAGGTTAATCGTATGGGACCAATTTTTCATGATTTCATGAATAGTTAGGTTAATAGTATGGGACCAATTTTTCATAAATTTCATGGATATAGGTTAATCGTATGGGACCAATTTTTCATGATTTTGTGGATATAGGTTAATCGTATGGGACCAATTTTTCATGATTTCATGGATATAGGTTAATCATATGGGACCAATTTTTCATGATTTTGTGGATATAGGTTAATCGTATGGGACCAATTTTTCATGATTTTGTGGATATAGGTAAACTACAACTAACACATTTTTTATAACCTAAGTTATTTGTTGACTTTTTTTTGGCAAAACCATGAAATCAAATATCCATAAATATAAAATTTTTCCTCTATCCATGAAAATTGGTACCCTTAAAAATAAATGTATCCACAGTATCCAAAGTGTTGCATAATATCAAAACAATGTGTTCATATCAAGACTCAAAATAAAATCTCAAATATTTGCAAAATCCTAGTTTTCAAATTGACAGGTAAGTTTACCTCTAAATGGAAAGTTACTTACTTGTTCTCCATCGTCTCCCCTAGATCCCTTTAATCCAGGTTCTCCTGCAAAGCCAGGTGCTCCAGATTCTCCGGGACGACCCATGTGACCAGTCTCTCCACGTGATCCCTGAAATAAGACAATTATTACACTGCAGGTAGTTTTATACGTACAAATAAATATAAACGTATTTAAAAGGACAAATTACAGTGATGATCCCTTTTTTATGTGTTTTTGTTTAAGAATGTTTGATACATAAGAAATCTAACATTGAATTTTGCTTACACATTTTTAAAACACAATAATACATATATATAAGTGTATTTTCTTAAAATGTTGATACCTATCATTACTAATGATGTGCAAACAATGCATATATTTTGGATATCATATACCTTTTTTTAAGGTCTAGCAATCTAGAAAATAAAAATTGTAGAAATTATGATGTTATTAAAAATTATGATGTTATTAAAACAATTGTAGTTTCAAATGTGAAATCTAATATTTCTTACTTTTATGCCATCAGGTCCGGATGGGCCAGGTGGTCCATCTTCACCAGATGATCCAGACTGTCCTTGAGGTCCAACACCTCCTGGTGCTCCAGGCTGTCCAGGAAGACCTTGAGCTCCTCTGTCTCCACGGACTCCTTTCCTTCCATTCATACCAGGCCGTCCCTTTAATTACAGATGCATCTCATAATTAATTCATAAATAAGAAATATCATAGTAAGATAAAACCTAAAAAAAACTGCAGTTATGGGTCAAAATTATCATATTCTTAAATCAAAGAACCATCAATGTTGTGAGCCATCCAAGGATTACTTGTCTTTTCTACTGCACTGTATGTACCCCTTTTATAAGAATTTGAATCCAAGACAAAAAAGGCAGACAACTCTGAACTCATATCAATACAATAACACAGTCAATAGAAGAGAAAGACTTTTGTCTGGACAGTTTCTTATTTTCGTCAATCGTCAACAAGACAGCAAACCAAAGATAAAAATAACCAAAAATAATCTAAAGAGCAACATTCATTCTTCAACAATGGACAAGTGTTTGTACAATATGTCAAGGTCGTTATAATACAAAGTCCATACTACAAGTTGTGAATAAATTAAGCAGAAACAAATTATGCCTTTAACACCTATTAAATAAAAAAAATAACGTGTCAATTCCTTTAATGAAGAAAAGATTTAGTCCATGTTTTGCTATCGGAAAATGAGTATTTTAAATTTAATAAGCATCTTCGTAAATTGTGTTAAAGTATAAGGTTTTTTTTAATTTAGGGATAGCAATAACAAAAGAATACCCCATATTTGTGTCTACATAGGGGTCAACAAAAAAGTTACATATATTTCCATCCAATATTTATGCTCAAATGTTCAGACAGTCTTATTAGTAGGAGTTTCTACTATTATGTCTTAATTACATTTGGTCCTGGTGGTCCACCTTGTCCTGCAATTCCGGTTGACCCTTGTTCTCCTTTAGGTCCAGCGAACCCTCTTGCTCCTTTGGCCCCTGATAATCCAGGTATACCCTAAAATATACAATTATTTAAAAATTATACTGAGTTTGATGACATCCTGTTTGATAAAATTACCCTTACAAATCTTTTTTTTCTTCTGACCATATACCATAGTAAGGTACTGTAAGATGCAGATTTACCAAATAGAAAAATTGTAAAAAAAATATACATCAAGAACAAAATCAACTTTATAGCTAAGACAGTTAGTACCATACTAATTTTCATGCAAATTCAATAGAATGTGAACAACTTTAATTGGATAAAAATATTTATTGAACAATTTTTTTTCTGAAACTTTAATACAAATGAAAGGATAAAAATATTTATTGAACAATTTTTTTCTGAAACTTTAATACAAATGAAAAACGGTTGGAACTGAAGACAACTATGATTTATGTTGACATCTACCCTGCAGTCCTGAAAAGTCATTTGAGTGAATCCTTACCCCTGGTCCTGGCAAGCCTGCTTCTCCCACTACTCCTTGTTGACCTCTCTCTCCTGGGGAACCACGAGCTCCATTCTCTCCAGTTGAACCAGCATCACCATTTTCTCCTTTTGGAGCAGGCTCTCCCATTATACCAGAAGGACCGGGTGTACCAGGTGGTCCTCGAGGTCCTTGTTTTCCTTCATTTCCATCTGATCCTGGGTTTCCAGATTCTCCCTTAAAAGTTTCATGAGACAAAAATCACATACCAGTAAGCAAAAAATTACATTATTATCAAACCTTCAAAATAATTTATGTAGTTTTCAGGTGAAAACTTTTTTTTTTAATCAGGATAAAATAAAATGCTCCGCAGGGCGCAGCTTGATACGACCGCAGAGGTCGAACCCTGAACAGTTGGGGCAAGTATGGACACAACATTCGGTTTATTCCCGATTGTCCCACTTTTTAAAATTTTAGAGTTCTGATTGTCCCACATGAAAAGTTCTGATTGTCCCACATTATTTTATGAAGTAAAATGTTCTTAGATAAACAATGTAACTGTTGTTTGTTTTGCTAAATAAACAAGAATTAATTTATTGCACATTTAATATTAATTTTATAGAAGTATAAAAAAAATGTTTTTTAAATCATTAGATTAATGCACTTTTGATTAAAAAAAATTTATTTCTGATTTATGAAATATATATACAATGTTACGTTATCTATAAAAAAAATTTCAATACCGTAATTTTAATTACATTTTCTCTATAAAGTTTTTGAATAAATAATGCATGCAATTCTAAAAAAAAAAGGTATAAACTCATTTACATTCTACACTTTACACGAACTTGGTGATGGAGAGATTTTTTCAGAAGTCTTTACAATTTTACTAGGGAAGTCAGAGGACATTAATACAACATTCTCTGCACTATTGAAGACTGCTAACACCCAACGTCAGATTCACCTGAACCCAACAACTTCCTTTTTTTGATAACGAAGCTGTTGTCTAGAAATCTGGCAGATCATCCTTTCTAAGAATCAATATCAAAGGTTGTTTTTCCAATATTCCCAGTGTCTTTGCCATAAAGTGCAGTCAACAGGACTCGTCACCAACTATAAAGAAGAACCAGACTTCCATAAAAAAAAAGATGTGGTATGATTGCCAATGAGACAACTCTCCAAAAAAGACTAAATGACACAGAAATTTACAACTATAGGTCACAATACGGCCTTCAACAATGAGCAAAGCCCATACAGCAGAGTCAGCTTTAACGGTCCCATATGAAAAATGTAAAAACATTCAAACTAGAAAAACTAACGACCTAATTTATGTACAAAATAATGAACGAAAAACAAATGTGTTACACAGTAACAAACGATAACCACTGAATTACAGGCTCCTGACTTGGGACAGACACATACAGAACGTGGCGGGGTTAAACTTATTTGAAGGCGCCAATCCTCCCACTAACCTGGGACAGTGTTGTAACAGTACAACATAAGAATAAACTAAAAAAAATAAGTTGAAGAAGGCTTATCTCATCAGATGGGTACAGACAGAAATACATCTAACAAATCACAGAGTGGACATGGACGTGGACGGCTACTTATACATCCCCACAACAAAGACACTAAGTACAGATCTTAGAGTACTCGCAGTTACTGACAGCTAGTTCAAAGCCAATAAAAACTAATTAAAAAAATCATGCATCTAAGACTAAAATTTTATGATTTCATATTATATTCCATGTTTGATGATACTTCAATTGTACCTACTACATGTGCAAAATATAATATGTAAGTATTATTATTTGTTCATTTTTTTTTTTTTATATTTTATAAGTTACAGTGATTAGTAACCTGTAATTAACTGATACAGACTATAAAAACAAATTAATCACTATCAAAACAATTCCCAATTGTCCCACATTTAAACTTCCCAATTGTCCCACAAACATATTCCCGATTGTCCCACAAAATTTCATTACTTTTTTACCTGTAATTTCAAAAAGTGGGACAATCGGGAAGACACCCAACATTCAAGCTTGATACAGCTTTGCATTTGGATTATGATTAAATATTTGACACAGCATAGGTTTCTGACACAGAATGAATGTGGTCTAAGAACTTAAAAATTTTAAATTGGACATTCACCTATTATGGTCCAATATCCAAAATCTAAATACATGGTTAGATTCAGCATATCAAAGAACCCCATATATTCAATTTTTGTTGAAATCAAACAAAGTTTCATTTTGGACCCCGATTTAGACCAACTTGAAAACTGGGCCCATAATCAAAAATCTAAATACATGTTTAGATTCAGCATATCAAAGAACCCTAAGAATTCAATTTTTGTTAAAATCAAACTAAGTTTAATTTTGGACCCTTTGGACCTTAATGTAGACCAATTTGAAAACGGAACCAAAAATTAAGAATCTAAATACATGGTTAGATTCGGCATATCAAAGAACCCCAATAATTCAATTTTTGATGAAATCAAACAAAGTTTCATTTTGGACCCTTTGGACCTCAATGTGGACCAATTTAAAAACGGGGCCCAAAATTCAAAAACTAAATACACAGTTAGATTCAGCATATTAAAGAACCCCAAGAATCAAGAGTAAAACCCCATTGAAATTGGTCAAGAAATAAGCAATTTATACGAAGTATCTTCTTTTGCACAATACTGTGCAATTAAATATTTCTTGCTATTGCGCAATACTGTACAATTGACAATTTCTTGCTATTGCGCAATATTGTGCTATTGGATATTTCTTGCTATTGCGTAATACTGTGCAATTGAAGATTTCTTGCTATTGCGCAATACTGTGCAATTGAAGATTTCTTGCTATTGTGCAATACTGTGCAATTGAAAATTTCTTGCTATTGCACAATACTTATTATATAATAATTTACACATCCTGTTTGGTGTGTATCTCCTACCATATCATTATTATTTGCTTTTAAATATAAATCAGAAATAACCAACTTAAAATGGAAAATTTTAAAAGAAAAAAAAAATGAAAAAAAGAAAAATCCCCCCCCCCCCCCCCCCCAAATTTTTTGAACCCCTTTATGATTCATCACCCCCAAACTCAATCCCAGCCTTCCCTTTGTGGTATGGTACCTTGCAGTACAATTTCAGAGAGATCCATACACTTGAACACAAGTTATTGTCTGGAAACTAGAAAAATGTGTTTTTTGGCCCCTTTTTGGCCCCAAATTCCTAAACATTTAGGGCAATTACCCCCAAACTCAAACCCAGCTTTCCCTTTGTGATATGGAACCTTGTAGTACAATTTCAGAAAGATCCATACACTTACACACAAATATGTCCTGAAACTAGAAAAATGCTTGTTTTTTTGCCCCTTTTTGGCCCCTAATTCCTAAAATATTGAGGCAATTACCCCCATCATCAATCCCAGCCTTCCCTTTGTGGTATGGTACCTTGCAGTACAATATCAGAGAGATCCATACACTTGAACACAAGTTATTGTCTGGAAACTAGAAAAATGCTTATTTTTGGCCCCTTTTTGGCCCCCAATTCCTAAACGTTTCGGCAATTACCCCCAAACTCAATTCCAGCTTTCCCTTTGTGATATGGAACCTTGTAGTTCAATTTCAGAAAGATCCATACACTTACACACAAGTTATTGTCATGAAACTAGAAAAATGCTTGTTTTTTTCCCCTTTTTTGGCCCCTAATTCCTAAAATTTTGAGGCAATTACCCCCAAAATCAATCCCAGCATTCCTTTTGTGATATGGAACCTTGTGGTACAATGTCAGAGAGATCCATACACTAACACACAAGTTATGTCTGGAAGTTACAAAAACGCTTATTTTTGGCCCCTTTTTGGCCCCTAATTTCTTTACTGTTGGTACCATAACCCCCAAAATCAATCCCAACTTTCCTTTTGTGGTATTGAACCTTGTGGTAAAATTTCATAGAGATCCATTCACTTAAACTAAAGTTAGAGTGTGAAAACCAATGTGTTTTCGGACGACGCCGGACGACGCCGACGAAAACGACGCCAACATCATACCAATATACGACCACAAAAATTTTTTTGCGGTCGTATAAAAAAGTGCTCACACATTACAACTCATCACTGTCAAACTAACCAAATATGAAGTCATTCTATTTATAGTAGTTCAACAAATGTTTGACAAATGGCAAGTTGTTTGACTGATAGACGAGGTGATTGCAATATGGCCCCCACTCTACAGTGTAGGTATTGCGGTATGCAAATTTAGAAGATCTATTTATGAGAGATTATCCCTTTTTCCATTCAAATCATTCTTTCATTACAGTTAATCCTTTAAGAATTTACAAAACTGTGGACTCATTTATCTTTCGTGGTTAACAATTTTAGAGGATCGAGTAAAAATTGTATTTTCATGTACTGTGAAAGTACTTTTGTTAGTGGGTATCAATTTTCGTGGGTTGAGCAAAAGTTACATGTTCGTGGGTTCTTTAATTCGTGGATTTTTCGTTTTCTGAAGAAAAAAAAATTTATTAAATTTTTAATAAAATAATTGCTTTCAGAAATAAGCCATAAACATGTCATTTAAAGAAAAAGGTTGCATAAGAAATGCTACAAATATACTTTGAATTAATACTTATGAAATAGAAAAGAAAGCCCAATATGAAATTATAAATTTTTTTAGTGAGAAATATGAGGAGATAAAATGAACACTTCATCATCATATATCTTCACTGGAAGTCTGACTTTCATCTTTCAAAACCAATTTTTTCATGAGAATAAAACGGTTAAAAGTCGTACAACTTATGTTAATTAAAGATTAAAATCCAACTGAAGTTGTACATGCTACACTGGTGCTACTACACTGCATATAGTTCATAATGCATTTGCTGATATTCAATGTTTTCTCTAGATTACTATGATTTGCCCGTATCTATGTAATCAAACCTACAGGGGATCTTTCCATGTGTTTTTTTTTTTGGACAACAGTTGTAATATTTCGTTGGACACTTAAATTCGTGGATAAAGCCGTCCACAAATACCACGAAAATCTGTACCTCAGGAATAAAAGTACTTTCACAGTAATTTGATTCCCTTGTTTTAATTGCCAAAGTCTGCACACAATCTTATATAGAAAAATTGTACTTTGTTGAAGTTTAAATTTGTGGTTCGCCTTTATCTTCAAAATCCACGAATTATCAAGAATCCACATATCATATGATAAACCATATGTCATCTGAAGGAGATTTAAAAGGTCTAAACAAGGCATGTTCTAAATTAATTAAAACTATTTTTTTATCAAATTTATCAAATGCATTGCACTTTTTTTTAGAATACTTACGATGTCACCTTTAGGTCCCCTTTCTCCTCTTTGTCCTCTCATTCCTTGTTGACCCTATTGAAGCATACATCATAACATTAAAAATATTAATATTTTAGCACATTTGATAAAATACTTGGCATTAATAATAATAATAATAATAATAATTATTATTTATTTAAAGAGTGTTACACAGTTAGCTATAAAACTAATCTTCCCTGAGGCCCTCATGAAATACAATGAAATATATCAAACAATTACAAAATTATAAATGAAACAAACACACATATATGAAAAAATGAAATAAAAAATTGTTATGAAATATAGTTTTCAAAACAGGTAAAAATTACAAATTCATATAGTGTTGGCAACATTCAAATTACCTCACCAATATCTTAAGTTTGAGTAAGTGTGTGAAAATTATTATGCATATAAAATTACACAGCTTCTTAATGTTCCAACAAGTAATTTTTGAATAACATAAAATAGAAGAGAGGAGATCCATGAGATAACAATCTATTAAAAAATCTAGAAATAAGAATGTGTCCATAGTACATGGATGCCCCACTCGCACTATCATTTTCTATTTTCAGTGGACCGTGAAATTGGGGTCAAAAACTCTAATTTGGCATTAAAATTAGAAAGATCATATCATAGGGAACTTGTGTACTAAGTTTCAAGTTGATTGGACTTCCAACTTCATCAAAAACTACCTGGACCAAAAACTTTAACCTGAACCGGGACAGACCGACGGACTGACAGACAAACGGATGAATGGACACACAGACCGAAAAAATAATGCCCCTAGGTGGGGCATAAAAATTTGTGTCTTTTTCTTCCTTATATTTGTATGAGAAATATGAAGAATATTTTCCATTGCAAATATTTCTGTCTTCATTTGAAGTTGCTTATCGTCGTTTATTGACTACAACATACACTTGTATAACTTGTTTAACAATCATCAAAGATTTTCACTTCTGTTAACATTTTGTTATTTTGCAAACAATCAAGTTAACTTGAAGTTTAAACTGCCTACAAACAGATGTAAAAACTGGAGTTTTCTGAAGTAGTAATGTTTTATTTGTTTGAAATACATATTCACAAAGTATGTGTTGATCATTCTGTTTACAAATAAATGGGAAATGTGTCCATGGGACACAGATGATGCCCCCGCTTGCATATCATATAAAGTTATAAAGGGACATAATTGAAGAACTTTAAAAGTGACACTACCAAAATTTGTACTTGATCTGTATGTTGTGGTAATAAGCATTGTGTATAAGTTTCATAACATTTGGTTGAGGCAAACTAAAGTTAGAGAACAGAAACCAACTTTGGGACGTACGTACGGACGGACAAGGGTTAAACTTAATGCCCCCTCTGCTACGGCATAAAAATGCTCTATGGTTCCCATGACAACATATATTAACTTACCGGTGGACCCTCAGGGCCTACATCACCTTGCTGCCCACGATCACCTGGTGGTCCCTTAAAAAGATAATCAAATACAGTGTCAATAGTAGTCAGCAAATAATGAACATGGCAACTAAAATTCTCAGCATTCTAATGACAAATATTTTTCATTACTTTTCATCCTTCATGAGAGCATGTTTATCAGTAACAATGACTTTAATAAACACTGAAGTGACTCTGACAAACATGTTCAACTGTCTAAAACTACTCTAATAATTAATACCTGTACAATTCTTCAAACAAACAAAAAAACAGTGTCTCAAGAATCTGAAAACAGCAGAACTAATTTATTTGACCTAATTTATTCTTAAAATGTTTGGACTTTATTCTTTTTTTCGATGTCATGTTTTTTTTAGAAAAATTGCTAAATTAACAGCAGAAGTGTGCCTCTGGTATATGTCAAAGTGACAGAGAGCAGCCCAATTATAATCAAAAGAGGTGTGAGGTACTCAAGGTGAGGTACATGTTAAAGGGAGAGAAGCCCAAAATCACCATAAAAAAAACCCAAAAAACCCAGAAGATAACAAAACCAAGCTATGAATGACAATTATTACTTACTCTTTCTCCATCCCTCCCAGCTCCACCAGTTGGTCCTGGGGCTCCAGGCTCTCCAGGGGTACCAGGTTCTCCAACCACACCAGGAATTCCTCGCTCTCCCTAAATTACAAAATTAAAATGCATTAATTCTTTTAAAACAAATTTGGAGAAAAAATAAATGGGGAATGTGTCCATGGGACACAGGTGATGCCCCCCTTGCATATAACGTTATAAAGGGACATAACTCACGGACTGTAAAAGTGATGCTACCCAAATTTGTACATGATCTGAGTTTTGTGGTAATAAGCATTGTCTATAAGTTTCATAATATTTGGTTGAGGCAAACTAAAGAAAGAGAACGGAAACGAAAAATTCAGCAATTTTTCCATTTGTAAAGGGGCATAACTCTAGAACGGTTAAAGTGACACCACCAAAATTCAAACTTGATCTGTGTTTTGTGGTATAATAAGCATTGTGTATAAATTTCATAACATTTGGTTGAGGCAAACAAAAGTTAGAGAACAGAAACCAATTTTGGGACGTACAGACTTACGTACGTACGTACGTACGTACAGACAGACAAGGGTAAAACTTAATGCCCCCTCCGCTACGGCAGGGGCATAAAACTTTCTATGAAATATTTTGTTCACCATTATGGACCTTTTAAGAACAAAAACCATTGATACACATACATTAATGAATTGGTTAAGCAGGTCATTTAACATTCATAACATTCAAGCAAGATCATACAAGAAATGACATTTCAATAAATTTCTCATTTACCAAACCCAGAACAAAGAAAATTATTCCTGAATTTGTTACAAAATTTTAAGAGGTTTATGGTCAGCAATGTATTTTTAAAGATTATTTTTCTGAACATTCCAGTTTGCTAATGATATATATAGCTTATTAAAATTCATTTCAAAATCAGGGTGAATAAAAAAAATTTGCATTATGTAATTATAAACAAAGTATACTTACATTTGCTCCTGTGCGTCCAGTTTTGCCTGCATCTCCAGGGGGTCCAGGCTCTCCTGGTTTACCGGGCTCCCCTCTCCCTCCTGGTATTCCTGGAGCTCCCTACAGTATATGAAAGAATGTGATTTTACCTCAATCCGAAAAAAAATCAGGTCTGGTACAAGTTAAAATGAAGAAACAAGAGTGTCTTCAAGCAAATATATAATTCTTATCAACCTCAATAATTGATATAAATAAGGTACAGTATGTTTATTATAATAAGAGAGTTGTTTCAATTTGGTGGTTGAAAAAGATCTTTCAAGTGACATTTTTCTATTCATCCCGACCTAGTTTTTCACACTAGGGTGAGTTAAACAAACGGCATGATTTAAATAAATTTTTGCATAAAAAATTCAACAAAACTCTTCTAGTTTGACCCCCTCACCCTGTTCAACACCTCTCTTAGGTGACAACACTCATAAGTTGATCAGTTTTCATGCAGATGATTTTATATTGATCCCAAGATATCATATGACATTTACATGTGACTTTTTTAAGTAAAAAAATTAAATCGGACACACTCAAAACTCAAGTATAAAATAATAATAATAATAATAAATATAGGACTTACAATAAATCCTGTTGCACCAGCATTTCCATCAGGTCCTCTGCCACCTGCCTCTCCCTGAAATAAATAAAAAATAACTCAAGTCACAACAATAATATAAAACTGTCATACATCTTAATGTATTTGCAATTTACTATTTCATCTGTCAAATCCAAATCTAAATGTTTGAAGAATATGCATTTTCTAATAGTTGAAATGATAGAACAAAATTACAAAATTACAAAATTACAAAAAAATGTTTCTATTTCGAATGCAGGTAAAAATCAATGTTAGTATTTTGAACAGAACCATTCTAATGTTTATCACTTTAATTTTAGAATTATTTACAGGATGAACATACTAATACTCACTAAAATAAATATTATAATATTTTTTTTACAAAAAAAAGCTGCATCCATATTAAACATTTTGAAAATCAAAACTCAATAATAAAATTTCTTAGAAAGATTTAAAAATATGTAACATACAGTTGCTCCTGGTGGTCCAGTATTTCCTCTTTCTCCAGCAGGTCCATTGTCTCCATCTGGTCCACGTGGACCTTGGCCTCCTGGATTTCCATCTTTTCCTGGAGGTCCCTATATAATGAAATATATATTTATACCTGAGACTGACAAATACAAGTTTTTTAAAATGTAATAGATCTTTTGGTCGAAAAATGTATGGTATTCAGGTGTATTTACAAGATAGAAAATTATCTGATTTGAAAATGTGGAGAAAACAATATGATGTAATACCTGGCCTTGCCGTCATAAAACTTTTGAGTATGATTATCGTATTCAGACTCGGAATTCAACCAATCAAAATGATGGATTTTGTGTTTTGAGCACAAATTTTGTACTTCGAGTACTGAGTAAAGTTTTATGAACATAGGCCCTGATGTACACTATCTTTTTGAAGATTATTAATTAAGTAAAAAACTAACAAAATTGAATAAACAGCTGCACCATGAGCGCATGATACGCCTGTACTTTTTCAAAGAATAAAGTTCAAAGTTGAAATCTCAAATACTGTGTATTGTACATACCCTTGAGCCTTGGTTTCCTTGTGGACCTTGAGTTCCAGCAGGTCCAGGGATGCCAGGGGCTCCCATCTCTCCTGGTCTTCCATCATTGCCAGTGACTCCCTAAAATTAATTTACAAACATGTGAAATATCAATTCTATAAATAAATTTTTCATTTACAGGATGAACATACTAACACCCACTAAAACCATCAGTTTTTTCATTAAACCATATGAAGACCTTATTAATTATATCATTAAATTATTTATTGCCTTTTTCATTCCTTTAAATCACTTTTTCTTATTTTATTTAAATTGTGAAACCATAGTTAGCAGTATCAACATTTAATTTCATTTTCCAGTACAATGTATTATATATACATCTACATAAGGATTGCGTAATGCTTTATTTCAACGTTATTTCCTTAAATGTTGCGAAGTGTGATTGTAATGTGACGTTTCTACTAACAATATTTATTTTGTTAGATTGTATATATGTTTACTGTGAATGAGGAATGAAACCGGTAGGAACAATGTGAAAAATGTGAACAATGTGAACGATGTTTAATACAACAATATATATGCATTTTCTTAAATATATATATTATTAGTAACATAGTGTGCTAGTGACCTAATACCATATATTAGGTCAGTAAATTCAATACCCCATATATATGGTATAAGGTCACTTGCACATTATGTAACGAATTTATCTTACCGACTATCTTAGCATGTGGTATTTAGACTAGTGGCCTATCAAAGTGATCAAGTCTTCAATAATTAGTATTAAGAACCTACTTCATTTGGTCTATAAAAAACAAATGCCAACAATAACAACTTGTTAGCTTTAAATGTGTTTTATGAATTTATTTCAATCGTTCATCATCAATTTCTTCGTCTGTTGAAACCTTTCAGATTTTTCGTCAACACCGTGTTATTTTTATAAAGGGACACAACGCCACTACTAACCTTGTATTGAAATAAGCCCCGCCTACTAACCACATATGAAATATACACGGTCTCCACGTGGTTGCTTTTAACCAATCATATTTTCTAGAAATGTATAGGAGGTAAGATAAATATATATAATATGCCAAGAAAATCAACCTAACAATGATAGAGTAGATATCTATATATATAACATGAAACTCACTGCAGGTCCAGGTCTGCCAGCCATACCATCTAACCCTGGTCCTCCACTACCTCCCTTTATAAATAAATTAATATCATTATTACTCTAAATTAAATTTAAATAGTCATTTGCATATATTATTACAAAAAACATTTTTTGTTTTTTTTGTTTGTTAATTTCTTGATGCTGACTGATTAAGTGAATATAAACATTTTAATAAAATTTAACTAACAAGTTGTGCTAATTATAAAATATCTCATCCATTATATTACTTACTCTTTCAAGTTCAATAAAAAAAAAAACACAACTTGAAAAATATCCAATGAAAATAACTTGATTATGATACAAAACCTAATACTTAACATCTGCCAAAAATTAATAGTAAACTTTCTTTTATATATTAACGTTGCTTTCTGCATTAACCGGATGTTCCTTCTTCTTGTTTTTGATTTTTTGCCAGATATTCGGAATCCTCTGGTTTTATTCATATAGTGCCATTAAAATTTTTGCCCGCAAAACCCTACTTTTCTTTTCATAATTTTATCACATATAGTTTGAAAAGCCATTTTTGAAAATCATATAAAATCCTTATTTTTTCATAGTTTTTGAAAGAGAGAAGGTGCCTATGTTAAATGTACGAAAAATCTAGAGGGAATCACTTCCCGCCAAATTTTCAATGGCGTATATCTCAAAAACAAGCACACAGACCCTTCATTTTTTTTTCTGCTTTTTTAGTTTATTTATTTATATAATTTATAACAGTCTTTTAAAAAGCTTGTTATTTTGAAACAGAGAAGCAAACTTCCTTAATTCAAATCAAATAAAGATAAGGAATCAAATAACTGTTATTGCAGGTCAAATTTCTGAAATGAAATGTTGAACTTACTCTTGCTCCTCTAGCTCCTGGACCTCCCTGTCTGCCTGGTTCTCCCTGAAATTGAATAAAAAACTATTGGTCCCAGGTTAAACCTTTACAAAAAGATGAAAAATAAAATACAGTATATCTTTTATAAGCTGATATGTTTTAATAACATATACAAAGACCCAAAGTACAAAATAGAACTGAAAATATAAAACCATATCAGCAGTTTATTACATACACTTCGACCGTAGCACTTTTGTGGATAATGAGTTCACTGGGGTCCATTCTACATGCAGACTACAGTCCAATATATCTATCAGCATCCCTCAGTCTTTCAGGTCAAGAAAAAGGACGAAAAAATTGACACTTTTCACACCAGATGACTTCCTGTTGCTGGTTTTATTTACCGGTAGTCTCCTTGTTTCAACATTTTCCTGATCTCCTAAATGATTTATTTTCTTAAGTTGTCTTACTTCTAATATCTGTCACTGTCCCTCTGTTTAATATTTTTACTTACTAATGCTCCAGGTTCTCCTCGTCTTCCTCTGGGTCCAGTCTCTCCTTCTTCTCCTGAGGTACCAGGTTCTCCAATAGCACCAGGATATCCTCTCGGTCCAGTTGATCCCTATACAAATATTTTGATCAGATCAGTTACATAAAAGTTAATAGTAGTTTTCAATAGTACCTACTTATCTGTTAAAATTTCTTTAAATCTTCAACATAACCTTGACAAACAGCAGTGGGTCACTCCCAAACTTGTATTTTTACAAGCGACAAACAAATTACAAAACAGACTAAAATAAAAAAATATTCATTGAAATATTTGATAGAATTTTATAAAAGTAACAAATAATTTTCCTTTTGACTAAGCTTTTTTAAGTTCATGAAACCTGCATGTTTGCATGATATTCTACTCATCCATGGATTTTTTTAAAAAGCTGAATCAAATTCTTCCAGAACTTTACAGTGTTTAAATGACAATTCCTAAAAAGTATGTTATAAAGCAGTCATAGTAAGTAAACACATATACCAACCCTTTCTCCAGGTGGCCCTAATGGTCCAGGCTCTCCTAATGTTCCTCTTTGTCCTCGTTTTCCTTCCTTTCCAGGAGGTCCAGGTGGTCCACGGTTTCCTCCGGATCCATGGAGTCCTTTTGGTCCACGTTCTCCTTTGAATCCTGACTCTCCAGGTTGACCCTATTTTGATAAAAAAAAATCTTATCTTATAACACATTCTTTAAGATAACTAGACATAACAAGGAAGCTATATTGCTTACTAAGTACCTTATAATATTGCCTCAATCAGTCCAATAGCTGTGATCATAAATGTTTCCATGAAGGTCATGTAGAGGATTTTCCCAATAACAATTTAGGTCTAATTTTACTTTCTACCCTATTTTAAGAAAGGTAAACTACCATGTTGATGGACTGTAACACTTACCTGATAAAATTCTTGAGGGGATTTCTAGATTAAAACTTATTTGTCAAATTTGTTAATTGTTTTAAGTAATAATGGCAGCCATATTGGATGACAAATTTGTTATTCATCAATAAATATTCTAGAGCTTCTTGAATATGTCTTTTCAGAGGTTTGGTAGCATTAAACTTAACAAGATTTTTCTGATTTTTTGTAAAATTTCCTACTTTTTTTAATGATGGTTGTCACTAAATTCATAAAGGAACTTTACAACATTTTTCAGAATTTTTGCAGTTTTTTTTACTTTTTTTTATTAATGATAGTTTATTCACACTTATTTCATAAAGGAAGTCATGAATGTATTGTTTTTTTTTCTTCAAAATTCTGGAAGCAAGTGGTTCATTATTTGATTTGAATTCTTTTTTTAAAAAAGATATTAATGTTTGATTTGCAGTGCATTGGAAATGAACCTTAATTCCAAAAAGAATCCTCAAGGTGTCATATCTATAAAGTTTGAAAGCATCTGGACCTTTACCAATTTTTTCATAAGTATGTAAATAAACAGAAAAACTTTAAAAAAATTTAATGAAGCAAAAAGACCATGACTTGAAAACAAGATAATTACCAGATTTACATTATATTTTATAATTTCAAATTCTGAATACTCAGTACTGTAGCTGGAAACTTTCAAGGCTTGAGACATAACTTAACATTTCAAAACACCAGATAATTTTTCTTGCTAGTACTTTTCTACTTACAGGGGCACCCTTGGCTCCTAGTGAACCTGGACTTCCGTTTAAGCCAGATGGTCCTCTTGGTCCAGGATATCCTGGGGATCCTGCTGGTCCTGGGTCTCCCTAAGCATAAAACTCAGTCAATAAATACAAAATATAATGTCTATTAAAAAATTTTATATGTAATATTTAGCTGTTTATATATTATATTTTCAATCAAATGCACTTCAAAATATAAATATTGCTTCTAATTTCACATAATCTATATATCAAGATATCTTTTTTTTTTTGTATTTCTTTTCAAAAATATACCTCAACAGAAAATGGTATTAATTCTGACTCAAATTTACGCAATGAACAAATTCGATCATTCTAACTTGAGTAGTTTACTTACAGAAGCACCTTTTTCTCCATTCATTCCAGTTAAACCATCAGTCCCAGCTAATCCCTCTGCACCTGGAGGTCCAGATATACCAGGGTCTCCCCTAGCACCTTGCAGTCCTTGCGTTCCTTTTGGTCCTCCTGCACCAGCATCACCCTTGAATTGAAATAATTCCAATTAAAATTGAACACTTTTTATCTGAAACCTTAAGATTAAAAAAAGTTGTAGAAAATTATCTCAGAGGTATTCCATGAAGCATACTTTCAGTATGCTATAAAACTTTTTTCCTGGAGTCAACAATGTTTTCCTGTCTGTTTCAAAGGTTACTTAAAATTTGTTTTCAAATTTGTTGTACCGGTAATTTAATTTTTTACCAGAATGTGAAAATTAAAATTTTTACCTTAGAACCTGGCATGCCAGGCATTCCAGGTGGTCCAGATCGTCCAACTGGTCCAGACTCTCCTGGGGCACCAGCAAGGCCATCAACTCCTGGTAATCCCTAAAAATTAAAGGAGAAATAATCATTACTATTTACGATGAATTAATTACATTAGGATGTATCAATTGTGTTTTAATTCCTTTTTTCTTTTCTAGTTTTTTTTCTATTGTGATCACTTTCTGATCCACTGGATTAATATGCAAGCTTAGCACAATCTGACTTGTCTAAAAAAACTTTCATGAAAATACTTACTGGCGATCCAGAACCTCCATCAGTTCCACGTTCACCTTGCAATCCACGCTGTCCTTGGGGACCATTTGGACCATGAGCTCCTGGGGATCCAGAACTTCCCTAAAGCATAACAAGATAAAAAGTTACCATACTACATAATCATTTTATTTTTAACTGAGCATTAATTTCTTTATTTATCGTGTCTTTAAACTCCAAGTAATATTTGGGTAATTATGTCTTTTTTTTTTTCTTTTTTTTTTAGCCACTATTCTCTATTCTATAAACCCCATATAGACCCTCTATTATAGTTACTTAATTACCTTGTCACCCGGTCGTCCTTGTTCACCAGTTGGACCTTGTGGACCATTGAAACCCTTTAATTAAAAACAAATACAAAAATAAACACTATATAAAATATATAAAAAGATACAAGCATCTAAAACTACACAAATAAGACCACCATATATTCATTCTAACAGGAAATGTGTCTTCATTAAAATTTGTTTACTACATTTTGTGTTTAAACTTTTCATTTTTTTTTACATATCAAACTATTTTACTTTTTAAAGAAAATAAATCCTGTATGCATCAATTTTCACTTAAAGTTAATGTTACAAACAGAATACAGTCTACAGTTTCTCTTTTAATCTCTATGATCTTTATAATTGTTCTTTTCATCACTAATCACTAATTAAGATTTCGTTTTGGCTCTCAACTTTTTATAAATGAGTGTTCTTATGAGAAGGTTATTCCAGGGAAAAAATCTAATGTGATGTATCTGTATTTTCATTTACCACCACCGGGTGGGTGAATTCAAACATAGCATTTGGTCGGTTAGCCTAAAAGAGTACCATTCCCTTTCCTCCTCTTTCAAAACAAAAAGGAGGGTTATATAAAATTCCCTAAGTGTATTCATCACTTTACATCTATGTGAACCCAGGTACCTAATCTAATCATAACATTTATTTATCATTAAACTTAATTCTGCAAAAAGAAAAATCTTGATGACGTCAACTCTTTGTCTATCTTCATTTATGACTGGTTATAATTCATAGTTTTGGGAACATAATAAATAACATATTTAGGAGTTCAAGTTAGTGGGGGTCTGGGGTCAGAGACCTGTTAACATATTTAGGAGTTCAAGTTAGTGGGGGTCTGGGGTCAGAGACCTGTTAACATATTTAGGAGTTCAAGTTAGTGGGGGTCTGGTCAGAGACCTGTTTTTTGTAAGGAGTGGACCTTTCATTTTGAATTACTAAAGTCAAGGACCTCACATTCTTTAAACTTATGCTTTATACTGGACAGTTGAGTATCTTACAGAGGACCTTTCACTTTAAAATTCAATTGGTTCTAGACCTTTCATTATCTTTAGTTAATTTAAACCCCTGAACTTTCCTTCCTTCTTGATTACAAATAATCAAATAAAATTATAATAACTATTCACTTACTCGATGTCCCTTCATTCCTGGCATACCTGGCATACCTGCGGGTCCTGATGGCCCCTGAAAAAAAAATACACTGAACATTTAATACATGTGTCTATTAATCTAAAAATAACAGCACTAAAATATTGATCTTGACTGGCCTCAAAGCAATATACAAAATTAATTTATTCAATTTTTTTTCTCTGAACAATTCTAAAAGATTTGAATGGCAAAATCTGATATTTGATTTGTGTATTTATGATTTCTATTCAAATACAGATTTTTAACTTAATCACAGGAGCAGATTTGAAATTTGAAATTCTCTTCAAAAATAAAAAATGAAATAATTCAATAAAACTAAGTGTTACAAATTTAACGCAAGGTCCAATCTGTACATTCGTTTATTTGTACAGTGCCAAGATTGAAATGAGAATACAAATATACATGTATATTCCTAACATCCGATTTTATAGATATAACAAACCTTTGGTCCAGGTAAGCCACGTGGTCCAGTCTCTCCATTTCTTCCTGAATCTCCCTAAAATAATATAAAATTCAATAAAACATTACAGAACATTGCAGAGTACACCCATGCTTATAAAACTTCTATGTAGTCTATTTCATATTTTTGTTTGCTTAGAAATGTAACTGGTCTAAACCATTATTAAGCAGTATATTTATTTCTTTTCCAGAGGATCCATTCTCTTCAGTGATAAGATACACCACACCAACTATCTAAAATATAACAATCTCTTGAATTCTCCGATCATTATTATTCCACAAAGATTTATTAAAAAGCACAAAAATCTGAAAGGATTTTACATATATTTTTTAGCATCACCTGTGTATTGCACAAACAGCTGACTTGTAACAAGTTTATGTACAAACAGATATTAAAATATTTTTTTTACAGAAAGTAAAAAAAAAAATTTTACTGTAAATTTATTAAAATTCGGGCTGTTCTATAAAGAGGTTAAACAATAGTTCAATAAAAAATTATTTTACTTCAAAATTAATACAAGTACATACATGCATGTATACCAATATTGGTATAAAATCAGTTTCTATCCAGACTGTATCTGGGATAAATTTTCTTAATTTTTGCTAGACCAACTTTATTAATCTCATAGGGCAACCTGAGATTGTGTATTTCACTTACTAAATCTTTTCTAGCCATTTTCATTTTGCCTTTTACATTAAGTTGTGCCACTTTGAAATATTTAACAATTTACATTATACCAAGACTGTTGATGGTATACTTCTATCTGTCAGAATTGAAGAGTAAAAGAGGATTATTGTCTCACTCAATGGGGTAGTTGACCAGAATAAGTCCACACTATACTATCTCATAGTGCAAACTGCCAAACCTCATCTGATTCCCTGAAAAAAGTATCATACTCCAAGTTGGTTTTTTAGAATACAATACTGTAAATTGAGAAATTATTGCGAGGTTTTTATCAACGCGAATAATGTGACTCCTTGAGTATTTCAAAAATAAGAACTCACATTCTGATATTTGGTACATATATCTGTGTGCAGCTTTTCCTAAAATTGCAATAATTAAACTCGCATTTTTGTTCATTCTTCAAAAATTGCAATAATAAATGAACGCAACAATTTCTGAAATTTACAGTATTCTTATATAGTGTACATACCTCTATGCCTGAAATTCCATTTGGGCCTGGGGCTCCACGTTGTCCTGGTGATCCCTGAGCAAAGAAAAGACCATTTTATATGTAAAATGTCATGAATACCATTGTTCTGATGTAAAACTTTACAATGAATGATTCTCTTCCATGTTCATTTAGCTGATTTTTTTCCCATATCAAAGTATAATGCTAAAGAAAGTTTTGGAAAAGTTGTCATTTCCTATCTTTTTATCAGACAAAAAGTTTGAAAAAAATTATATTTATGAAGACACTTTGTTCTTTAATGTACTTACAGGTGGTCCAGAGTCTCCAGGTTCTCCTCTCATACCCTGCATGCCCTGAGGTCCCTATTTGAAAAAAAATACGAGAATTAATTCCCCTTACATGGAAAAGGAAAATAATTTCACAATTCATTTTTTTTTCAACTGGTTAAATATTTGCCCCTATGGGTTGCTATTACAGATTACAAAATTCATTCTCACATTAAAAAATGAATGCAAATAAAATGAAAATGTTTATAATCCTTTTTTCAAATAATTGTAATTGCATATCTTTAAATTCATTTCAAACTTAAAAATCATTTTTACTTACTGGTGATCCAGGGGGTCCTGGTGATCCTCTAGGGCCACTTGGTCCCTGAAATTAAACAAAAACAAGCACTACAAGTCCTGCAAAACATAGCAAAATTTAAACTTAACCTTCAAATAATTAAATGCCTATGAATAAAATAGTTAAACTCTTATGATGTAGATCAAAATAATGTAAATTTCATTTTAAAAGAGTCATGACTCACTAATTTAGTTGATGAGGAACAAGTTTTCAATATGAGAACTAAAAATAAACCAAATCAATAAATTCAATCTGTCCAACGTAAAATCACAATCCATTTTAAGAGTTTTATCTATTGTCAAATTGAAAGGCTATTACCTTCCTTTCAATCTTTTTCTTTAGTATATAAGTTTAATAAATTCTGTAACTTTTATAAATAAAGGGCAACTAAGATTTAAATTTTTTTTTTTTTTTTATTAAGGTCAGCACAGAAACAGGGTAACAGAGCTATAGCAAATTTTCTCTGGTTTACTTTCAGGTTATAAACTAACAGTTTAAGGAAAAATATTTCAATTGAACTTATCAATACTCACAACATGTGCCTGCAGATATGGTACATTTTGAGCTCTTCCTCCTGCCTTAAAAGCCTGATTATAAGTCTGTTGGAAATATCGAGCATAGGCCTGGTCTGCTGACTACAATGTCAAATATTTATTTTATTAAGACAATATTTTTTGCTATGTACTAAATTCTATTTATCATTTTGGAAGCACAAACTTACTGAAAATATAACATGACTGTAATACCGGTGAAAAGATTTAAATTTTAAGTTTCAAAATCAATATATCCTAGATGTTTTTCATTTTTTATTTTTTGTTAATCATACTAAAATGTATTTGACAGAATATACTTACCATTGGAGGGATTCCTGGAGGACCTGGTGGTCCGGGAATACCATGGTTACCATCTGGTCCAGGGTCTCCCTAGATAATCAAAAACATTAATGTATATGTAATAATAATATGGGTGTACATAGAACCATCAATTTTTCCTCCAAAAAAGACTAATTTTTCTCCCCATGGTGTCTTTTTTTTTATACAGAACACATCATTTTTACATCAGACGTAATTTGTATTGTGGATTTGTACAAAATCTAAGCAGTGGAATAAAACAATCCATACCATAATACAAAACAAGAAAAGATATAGTAACCGTATAAAACCTACATTATTTTATTATAAATGCAAAAGTGTATTTACATCTATTTTTGACCGAACTTGAAATTGTATTCATGCAGAGAATATATAAATTGTATTGATTGGGCTTTAAAAATGTTATAAAGGGACGTAATTCAGAAGCTACCAATACATCAGTGCTTCATACAGCATATAAAATAGCATTGACACTACTTCACTCACTCACTGTTTAACTCTGCACAGATAAAGGTGTACATATAAGCCTTAGCTTTATACAGTCTACTTGTTTCTAAGCCACAGGCTTAGTGCTATTTAAGGATCACACTATAATTGGTTGGCCTTGACCCTAAATGGTATTGTTTAAGTTTTGTGTTAAGGTCCAGTATTCCTTTTCACAAAAAATTAAATGACTAAAATTGGTAGTAAGTTATACTGAAATGTTCATGACTTACAAGTGTTTTTTCTCGTAAGAATGTAAATCTGCCCAATTCCTGACTCTAAATGTTTGTCAATAAATTCTAACACGTCTTTAAAAAAATACTTTTTCTACTTACAATCGGTCCCGCTTGTCCCATAATTCCAGTACGTCCAGGCATACCAGAGGATCCCTGAAATCAATAAATTATATTTATCTACACCAACTTCTTTCATGGAACTAAAAAGAAAGCTGTCTTTGATACAAAATGAAGGTAAAAGGAAGATTATAGCTTTGCAAAAAAATGTTATTATACAGTCAATCACAATAAGTGGAAATTCATTGATTTTATGATTGATTTTAATGCCACTTTCAACACTACTGGCTATTTTTGTGGCGATCAGCTTTTATTGATTGGGGGAGCCTGAGTGCAGGGGAGAGAACTGCCAATCTTCAGAAGGAAAACTGACAATCCTGTGTGGCGATCAGCTTTTATTGATGGGGTGGGGGAGCCTGAGTGCAGGGGAGAGAACCACCGATCATCAGAAGAAAAACTGACAATCCTAGTCAATTAAGATTGGAGTGAATGCACCTGCCATGTGCAGGATTCAAACTAACAGGCTAGTGATGTATCTATTGCTATGCTTGTTAATTGTATCAACCTCTTTTTGTAATGCAATCAATAGTAAAGGATGTAATAATTTACAGCTCCGTGTTTTTGATTTCTTTTATATCTTACTTTGATCCCCCAAAATAAGTCAGGTATGTTACATGTGTTCATGTTTTTTTTGTCTGCTCCAATCCAATAGAATATATCAGAAGACTTATAAGTCCTTTTAATGAGCTAATTTTCATGTTTAAGTGCCTATCCAAAGCCAGACGAAATTCTCTGTGTTTATTTTTATGTACATGTCGAATTGGAAATATTTGGAAATTATGAAACCTTCACTCTTTTAAAAGTATAAGGGGGATATACACTCCCTAAAGTTTTGGCTCTCCATTCAAGACAGGGTAGTGCACATTAACTCTGACACATATGTTGACATAATAACTGTCATTTGCAAAACATTTTACACTTTCATGATTTTAAAAGTGTTCTACATGATTCACAGTTTCATAAGCAGCATTATACTAATACTTTTTTCTATTATTTGTTTTTGAAAATGAGAGTATGAATTAATGTAGTAGCCATTCTAACTAAATAATAGTCAAGAATATTTATATCTAATTGTATCATAATAAACATTAGATCTCTTATTTTTTAAATATTGAGTTTACATATACTAACCTCTGCTTCGCGTTCAATTGCTTCATGGGATTGAATTGGTTTCACTTCTTTCTCTACAAGCTATAAAGTAAAACATTCGGTGAATTATTACTGATGTTTAGCACAAGGAAACATTTTTTTTTAAATTGAAATGTTAGTTATATTTGTTCACCTTACACAATCATGATTGATCATGATTAACCAAAATAATTGCAAATTTATAGTCATTTATAAGCCTGAATGATACAAAATAGAATCATATTCCCCATTGAACCAAATCTCAAGAACATTATCTATAAACAATAAGGTTGTTTAGTACAATCTCACAAATAACATCAAATTCGCAAATGATAATTTACAAATAATACAATACTTACAACGCCAGCATTTGTTAATCCTGCAAAAAAATCATTAATACAGATTTACTTATACAATCTTAATAAATTCTTGACTTACTATGGTTTCATTTATTTTCGTGGGTACAAATTTTCGTGGATTGAAGAAAAATTGTACTTCTGTGGTGATTTGATTTTAATAGTGGTTTTACCAAAATCTCCATAGAAGCGTAAAGAAAATGTGTACTTAGTTGAACCTTTAAATTGTGGTACTGCTTTAACAATGAAATCTAAGAAATTTGGTATTGAATAATAACGAATTCTCAGTACTATGCTTTGTAAAAATAGGTTAATAATTACAATTACAAATACGGGACTTATATACATGTAATGTACAGATTGAACATTTGAATTATGACAAATCCTCTGCAAAAATAATATACCTTCCTATGTGTATTATCTAAGAATAAAAGTATAAATAAATACAGACATTCACCAGCTGTGATTGTCAACATATACATGTATATTTGAAACTTGACATAATTCAAACAATTGAACTATTTCTAATTATACACTCATTCAAAATTAACTAAATTATGCATTTTAAGTAATTTGGTCATTTCTAGAAATCTTTGAATTATTTCTCTATTTCATATAAAAAGTAAGAAAAATATGTACCAGTTTTTAGCATAATCGACTGAATTCACACACAAATTTATACCCTTTTATATATATGTATTTTACACAGCATACATTGGACCAAAAACAACCAACATTACAATCATTAAATTATGAAATTCTTACCTTCATATTGATCACAATCAATTAATTCAGAACAATCAATTTTGCCATCCTTACACGAACACCATTTGCATGGTATCTGTATCCATTCATCTCCGGACTGATAGGTCTGTCCATCTTTTGATATACATGGTTTTTCTTTGGAAAAAAGAAATGACATAAGTGGATTGAAATCAAATGTATGGTTGTTTGTGTTAACATATTGTATGGTAAAAGATTATGTAAGATAATTGAATAGAAAAACAAAGGATATGGGGTATTCATTCATGACACAAAATCAATACATACACAGAAAAAAAAAAAAAAAAAAAAAACAAAGGAACAGCACTTTTATTGCTGTTCTTCATCTCAAAGCCACATTGAGGCCTTCAACAGGGAGCAAAAATGCTCTCATCTCACTGCAAGTTTAAGACGGTCCCCATCACAGGCTCAAGCAGACTTCTTTGCAAAAATAATTTGGATGGACTTTGTCAGATGTAACACCACCAAATCTGGCCTGGTCAAAAAAGAACATACTAGAAAGTAAGTACAGATTTAAAACAAAATAGTTCCTACGCATAGGTGTAAATATAACACTGTGAGTTGATCACGATTGTTCAAGAAAGCCAGGGTTTCCATTCAGCAATAAAATCAGGACTTTGGTTCGCTTCTGTAAATTTGGGCAAACAGTATCCAACATCAGTAGATTCTTTCAAATCTTCAATCTCAAAATATCAGTATTAAACTCAGCTATTCACATTAAACTACAGCACATTTGTAATTTTCATTTTTCCTCTATTCTAAATTTGTATAAAATTAATCTATGTCTTGTTGTAAGTTAGCCTCCTGTGACATAAACTTCAATTTGTTGAAAGCGGTCACTATACAGTAGAAGTAGAAATATAAGGTAATTATAATTTTGAACTATGTTTAACTCAGATATTTTACTATGAGGGTACTCCATTTAGGGCCATCAGAAGCTAATTATTTTGAAAGTCCACAGACAAGTCATACTTTTACTTTTAAACTTCTACCATTATGTTTCGCTATTCATATATGGCAGCTGTTTAAACAATTTCACTTTTTAAACTTTTATCATACCGTAATTGTCTACCATGCACATTTATTTCCCATTTGTTCTGCCACAGTTTCACAAGGATATCATCTTCATATAATGCTTTGATGTAGGATTTCGTAATAAAATGTTTCTTAATGCTCATGCTAGTTTTATGTATTTCTTGGCTATTTTTATATTAGGTGAAAAGCTCATCAGAGCCAGAGACTCTATTATATGTCTCTGTCAGAGCTTAGTTTGATTTTTTTTTCAATATGCTGATCAACAAAATAAATTCTATAATTTCTGTATTCTTTAAAATTTTTGGGCATTTTTTTATCTTTAAGAATAACCCATATTCTGTAAAATTGTCATGAAAATTATTCTACTATTATATTTTTTCTGTAATGAGATGATTTCTTTATTCTTTACATTGTTCATTTCTGTAATCAATATTATATTACCTAATTCTTTTATTTTCCACAATTTTCTTAATTTTTTTTTGCACCACAGGCACATGTGCATCTTTTTACCTATATATACATGTACCTTAGTATAACACATTAAGGTACAGCACACACTGACTGATAATATTTACATACATTGTAGATAGCTATATATTTTATTAGTGACCACTGTGGATAATAAACTATGAATTGCTAGTAAATAGTAAATATAGATTATTCTCTATTCTTATTTTGTACATTTTGCTCTTTTCATTATTTATTCGAGACATTATTCTCTATTCACTAAACCCCATCCTAACCCCTTACAGCTCTTCTGTCACTGTTCGGGAAAGAGTAAACTGGACCCCTGTTGTGTTCACTTATCGCTACACGGTGCGAAGCTATAGATGGAACGGCGGACCAGTTAAGGGAAAGAGCTCCCATGGCACCCGACGGAATAAAATGTAATCTGTCATCAGCTGCCTACTGTGTTCATTTAGGATGGCAGGGTGCCATGTGTTATGTTCACCAGATATTTATTACAGTCATACAATTTTAGAAATCATAGTAAAATTTTCAAACCCTTCAAGACAGCGTGGAGAAACATGCAACCTCAACATCGAATGTTTAAAATAATTAGTAGCTTATTATTAAAATATTTTTGTAGTTCCCTATTTAAATATTTTTGTACCTCCCTATCAAAATAAAATATCTGTGTAGCTCACTACTCAAATATTTTTGTAGCTCCCTATTAATCCTCAATCCTCAATCTTATGGCCTTATGGCACAACTGTTCCCATTGGTGCATATTACGCCCTATGTGAATCTTCCTCCATGTACTTTATTAAAATAAAATATCTTTGTAGCTCACTATTGAAATATTTTTGTAGCTCCCTTTCAAAATAAAATATCTTTGTAGCTCACCAATAAAATATTTTTGTAGCTCACTATAAAATATATTTGTAGATCAGATACTATTGAAATATCTTTGTAGCTCACTATACGGTACAGTATTGATCAAATATTTTGAACCAAATAATAAATTTTTTATATTTATTTTGAAAGCACACATTTCCAAATCAGATAGAATTGACAAATATTGCCGTGTTTTTAAAACGGGCAAAATTCCTCAGTTTATTTATCAAGTTCCTGCCGTCTAGTCCAAATAATTACGACGTCTTGTAAAGGCTATTTTTGTTTTTTTTTCTTGTCACAGCAAAACATAATAATAGCCATACAATTGCCGGGTCTGGATTGGGGGTTCTTAATTTCTGTTTTCTTTGAAGTTTTGGGGCATTTTTATTTTTTCCTTAAAAAAATATTCTTATTCTGTAAAATTCTCATGAAATTGATTTTGCAATAAATTTTTTATGCAATTATATGATTTCTTTTTTTTCTGTATATAGTTCATTACTGTAATCAGTATTGCACGCGTATTACATAATTCATTTATTTACCACAGTTGTTCTTTAAACTTTTGCAACCCATTATTCTCTATTCTTTTTTTTTTTGTCATTTTTCTCTATTCATTTTATTATTTGTGCATTATTCTCTGTTCTGTAAACCTCATTCAGACCCTCCGATGATAGTCATTTGGACTCTGTATTGTTTTTTGAGTGATAAAAACGGACATATTTATGATCATTTATGAATTCATTTTGATGAACCTTAAAAATCTGACGATTTACATAAGATAACTGTGTCTAAACGACCCCGGCAAAAAAAAAATGTTTTTATTCTATATTTATCTAATTTCCAGAACAATGACGTAAAATTTTGCATTGTTGCTAAAATTCTCGAGCTAAAATTGAATGATTTGTATACACAACGACACTGAAAATTATTCATGATTTTGAATGTCCTTATTCACGTCAAAATTTGTTGAAATTTTTTCAAAATTATAGTTTTAGCCATATTATTCAAGCATTATAATTTAGACACATGTTCGGAAATATTACCAGAATTAGGTTATAGAAAATAAGTCAATATTTTAAAAATAACTACGGCCAAATCAAAATTGGCCTTAACTCGTTGGTTTCATTTTCTGTATCGGGGTCAAATTCGAAACTGCTCTGTGCATTAACATATAGATTTCAAAAAGAACAAATCGACAGTGTGAATTTGCAATTCTAATGCTTTGTAAATCCGAATCTCAGCTTAAAGTACTGAGATGTTAAAATGGTTTGTATTCTTTACATTATAAATTTCAGTTTTGTGTTAGAAGATATATTTATCAAAATGTTGGCATAAGTTGAAGATACCAAACACGGAATGTGTTTTAACAACTCATGTAACGGAAACGGTTTTATAGAAGTTAAAAAAAACATGTTACATGTATATGCGTTGTTACTTTGTTAACCAAAATGAACTCTCAAGTTTGTCGTTTTTATTTAAATTCTTCGGTTTAGTATGTGACCATCAGTTTGGACATACAAACATATATCTTAAAATGTGATAACACCATATATCCGGCTATTGGTACGACAGATGCAATAGATAGCACAGATAAAAAACCTGTTGTACACGATTGGAAAATCTAATGCAATGGCAATCAGAAACACAGACAAAAATATGCTGAACACGATAGCCAAAACAATTGTTTTAATATCAATCGGGAACACAAACCCTATTGTATCTACCGTGCCGATAGCAAAATCGATTGTTTTAATAGCGAACACAGACCCTTTTATATCTATCTTATCGATAGCAAAATCAATTGTTTTCATAGCAATCGAGAACACAGATCCCATTTCTGCCGTACCGCAGCAAAATCGACTTCTTCGATGGCAATCGGGAACACAGATATCCCAATGTATCTGCCGTACCGATTACCGCGGTAACGGCGTGTGTTGATTCTTGCAGCAAAAATTCTCGTAGGCTACAACACAGACATGTTTACGTGGCATCTCTCGCATACTAAAAACTTTGGAAAGAGGATCGATATTTTTTTTTAAGTCAAGCGCACTAAACATTACTGTAGATGCATTTGAACATATGATGTGAAATGCACGGATCAAAGGGCGTTGACATTTCTATACTTTCCCTTTTGTGTCCTGCAAATCTGGGATGCGAAATGCATGGCGTTTTAATAATGGAAATTTTTCAATCATTCTATTTTTGTTTATGTAATTTTTCAATAAATTATTATGTATTGAAGAGCAAACATTTTTAGGGATGATAGTAATCGGGATAGAGAAAACAGTGGCTGATCCATAAAAAATCTAGAAAACAGTATTGAGTCTTCGGGCGTTTCTCGGACGATTTTAACCGGAAGGGAACACAAGCCCATTGATGCACTTTTGATAATTAGGTATGCATTACTTGAAAGTATACATGAACACTTTTGAAATAGCAAAACTTATGTGATCAAACCATGGGCTAAAGTAAAGGTATACAATCTTCAATCGAAAACAGGTTTCTGTCATGCACGAAAAATAAAATGATTGAATTCAATACAATACATGCAAAGTATATTAAGTATAAAAATGCACTGTACCTTCCTGAGATTGAACTAGCACAATAAACAACAATAACGGTGCTAGACAGTTCTTCCACCGAACTGATCCAAACTTCATTTTAACGTCTATAGCCTCTATTCTACCTCATTCAGGTTGGAATAGGAAAAATTGAGATCTATAGGAATGTTTGAGCCAGGAACCCCGGCTCCAAAGTAACTAGGAAGAGCCGTGCTCCAATAAGAGATATTGGAACACAGGATTCCTAGGCCGTTGTAAAATGGTAGCCGAGTTGAGCAGCCTCTTTGCCGCGTTGACTACTGTGGTATCATACTAAACTTTAATTATGCTACACTGCTCCAGAAACAACCAATCGTTGAGGTTGTTGGCAGTGAAGTTGCTGACCTCAGATGTTGAATTTTTCATAGAAGCAGACGATTTATTCTTGCACGAAAAAACGTAAAGGCGTAATTTGATATACAAATTTATCAGACATACTCTTGCAACTTTAATGCCTGCTTATTGACCCATACATACAAGGGTCGGTGAATTTTGAAGACGTGTGTGAAAGTAAACTTGCTACTACATAGGAAAAGAAGAATGCTGTAAAACACAATGATTTATCATAAAGTTAATTGATCACTAGTACTTAATGAATAAAACACATTTTCCGGCATTTTGGCGCAAATTTAAGAACATGAATAAAAATGACGCAGGATACACGTCGACATGACAGTAACCCAACGCAACAAACAAAAAGAACTTATATTTTAATCTTCCAAAGACTTATTGCTTTACAACTTAAATTTCCAACGCTCTTAGCAAAACAAAAATAAAAAGTATTTACACTAAGATTTAGAATCTGCTATTTGATTTTAAAAAGTTCTTTATGACAAACTAAACAAAGCTACCCCCGAGTCCTTCTGCGATTTACTGCATCAGAATCTTTTACATAAAATATGTCATATTGAAAATACAATAGTAGCCCTGTTTATATCAATATCAAGAGAAAAAAACATGAAAAAAAACCTCAACTACATATAAAGAAAAATTCAATGAAACTGCACAACAATTAGTTTCATGTCTTTTAAAAATCTACACAATTAAACTTGATTTACATTCAAATAAAAGGAGAGCGTTTATTTAAATATGAGTGTTATCATTTACTTTTCTCTCCTCGCGTGCGTAACGTGCAATTATACCTGCATTGAACCCCTTTGTTAAATTTAGACTATACACAGCACTATTTTACGAGCAGAGTGTTTGTACATAAAATGTAGAGATTGCCACTTAAAAAATAGTAAGAAATTAATTTATGTCTCTTTGTGAAGCTGGTATCGTGTAGGTTTTTTGAATGATTACTCCCACATGTATACCGCCTTTTGTCTGTGAGAAAATACAATTAGGCCAAGCAAGTTGATGTGTGTTTCGAGACAACAACGATTATGATTTTCTTGACCGCGACTTTGAACGTTTGAAACTATTCTAATATGAATAGGTTTAATATTATGTCTTTATATGCATATCCTATATTAAAACCTTATCTTACTTTATTGGTTACTGTATTCTGGTTTCACGTTTCAGGTACTGTTATGCCCGAACTGTTAAATGCAGAGGCGGATTTAAGGGGGGCAGGGGGCCGGTCCCCCTTATGGAGCTACATATACTTTTTACAAGCACCAGTCTAAACTTTGGCTAACAAGGGGGCCCCCCCCTTTTTTTTTAAATATCTTGGATTCGCACCTGATATGTATTGTTGCATTACCTCCATATAATCAAGGTTGTACCACACTTATAAGTTGCGTAATTACAAATCAAATCAAATATTTTATTATTCCAATCATGGTCCCACAGGGGGCATTTACAATTAACAATTATGATAGTATAAGCAACAAACATGAGACATTGTACAGTATATCACACGTGACAGATATTATAATAGACAATGAAAATAGCACTAATAACAAAAATACATTAAAAGTACTCTTGTATTTTTTTTCCTTCCTTCCTTATGTCCAGCAGTGTAAAAATTAAAAAAAATATTAATAATAAAGTTTGAACAAACTTAAATTATTATCTATAAAGATGGAAATTTGTTCATCTGCAGGAGACACAAAGGGACGGTGCTCTAGTAGCAATCCTCCCCGTGTCAGAAGCAGATGAACAAAATAAATAGAGAAATTGAATCCGGTCAATTAACAAATAATTTTTTTTTTCTAAATAACAACAATTGCTATTTATGCGAAACATGTCATATAAATCTGCTATTTGCAGTGTTTAACCAGGAATATACACAACTCTTTTAATACAGTTAAGTTCTCACAAGACAACAGCCATAGCAATTTCTCTTGGGAATTTAAGTTATTGAAATTGTGACATGATTCCGAAATAATGTGATATAAATGGTGTCTGTCTTCGTTATATTTTGTGCAATAAAAGAGAACATGAACTTCATCTTCAATATTACCAGAGTTACACTGCTGACATAGTCTAAGGTGTGGAGGAGTACCCTGGTATCGTCCTATTTCAATCTGCAAATGGTGAGATGACACCCTAGATTTTGTTAATGATCTCCTAAGTTCAAAATTGGACATGATATTTAGATATTTCTCGAAACCATAATTATTCTTAAATTTTACATAAGTGCGGAGCTTCCCTTCTGAATTCTGGGTCAGTTGATCCTTCCAAATTTTTATGCATGTCTCTTTCAATATTTTCCTGATGGTATTTTTTGAAATATTTTTCCCATCATTTAGGTTTGCAAACCCAGGGGAAGAGTTTTTAAAATTTGTTGGAGAGAGCCATACCATAACGATTTATGCTGAGAAAATAAAGTTACAAGTTTTACACAACCTAATCAGAGGCATTTGAATTCCAAAAAAGAAAATATATATACATCTCTCCTTATAAGCATATATTTTTGTATTGCGCATACGGAACTGTTAACCCTACATTCGCTGAATTGGTCGTTGTCGTATATGGTACTACAACTCTGTATCCTATGTATATATTTGTTTACAAAAGTGCACCTTTGGAATATCGGGTACCATAATGCGTCCCCTACATCCTCAACAGTGTACCTTAAATTTGAGATACTGCAAAATTTATCTTGTGAAAGATTCGTTTTCGTAATGCTAAAGTATTTTTTAAGAAACTTATGCAATCACTCTGGGTTTACTGTTTTATATCAAGGTATCCCTTTCCAACCTTTTTAGCAGAGCTTTGATATAGATATAGTTATTTAAGTACTGATTTAAATAGACCCCAAAAACTATGCACCTGTTGTAACGTAGGGTTTGTTGTCATCTGAGCGTAAGAAGTGTTCATCTATAATTAAAGCAACAAGGAAAAGGTAGACCAATGAATACAACAAACTTATTCATAATTGACTTTGCAAAAGCTTTTTCACCTTTCAGATGATAACTAAACTTTAATATTAGAACTTGTTCTTTTCAAAACTATTGCATTAAAACATCTCTTTAGAAATTGGCTATTTTTTCGACTTTTCAGTATACACGTGAAATATAAAATATATTTGCTCTTGTAATAACAATTCTATTATAAAATTCTTTTCATTATTTTGATATTGTACGTCTCTTTCTCATATGACATGTTATCGGTTAGATATGCTGATTCAGCAGTTTCAAGTTGCAACAGCTGACAAAAATTCCACACACGCGTCTTTGTCTAGACGACTCACGTTTTATTTTATTTTATATTTTGCAAAACTGCATTTTATATTATATGTTCTAGATGATATAAGAATCAAATTTGTTTGACGTCTCAGACATAAACAATCTGAACATGCTAAAGAAATGTAGGTAACCTTGGGTCTATGTATTATGTAAAGCATTTCACACAGGTCTCTCCCACTCCAGACACCTACACTAATTAAGTACTTTAATATACCACAAGCTTATCCCATGTTAAACTTTAACAAAAACATGAACATACAAATCTATATTGACAATAGTTCCTTAGATATCACTATATGTTGTGTAGGCTTGGAGGAGTATTGGTCAGGAGTAGAGTTGTAGAACGTTGTGGTGTAAAAACACTCATAGTTGGTCGTACTTAAAGAGAGGCGAACTACATGTACCAGTATGTTAAAAAAAAATGTCGAAAAAGGGTGAATTTCTCTTCCTACCTTCCAAACTTTACATGTTATGTCTGAAACAAAATTTAGGGTTAAGTGCTTAAATAAGTAACACTTAATTAAAAAGGGCGAAAAAGTAGTCAAGATAAAGACAGAAAATGTTAATTATCTAGAAAATGCACACGAGACTGATTTCAAATTCACATTGACTGTTGTCGCCAAGAAGATTTTTTCCAGTTAGCAGACGAGTTTTTGGGAGCGTACGCCCTGTACGCCTCCCTGGATCCGCTACTGGCTGATGATGTGGTCATCAAAGTCTGTCAAATACCAAATCTGCTGTTTCCTCCTTTCAACAAAACAACAGAACACTTTTAAAATAATTATGATCAAATAAAATGCAAAACTGAATGGTTTTACATAAGACAATTTCAAAATTAAGTGTTGTAATAGGAATGCTTTATAAAATTTGCATCGGATATATTTTATTCACGTGAAAATCCGCCGCTGAACTCAGAAACCATAATAGATTTTCTGACCAAACTAGAGAAAAAATTATCACTCCCCGACCAAATATAAAAATCATTCACTTCAATAGGAGCCAAGAAAAGTTTGACGAACATTGTCCTTGTATAATGAGAGTTGTAGAATTTCAAACTATCGGCAAACAGGAAGTGGCTACACGGCAGATGTAAAAATTGCTTACTCGCTACAACTCAACATTTTAAATCTGCAGACCAAATATTAAACCATTCCCTTTCATTGAAGCAACGAAAACTTTGACGAAAGAGTTCTTTCAGACGGACGGACGGAGTCGAACGGTTACTAGACCTGCTTCCGCAAAAGGGGAGAAATTACGTAGGAGCAAGCAAACATCACAAGAAAATTGAACCAAAAACGAAAACTAACAAACAAATAAGAATCCAGATACGTCATGATACTTTCAAAGGGATGACCTCAACTTCACCATTTGAGACCCTTGGTTTAGCTTCTTTGCAAGCAGGAAATCTCTATCAAGGGAAACATGGTAGGAAACACAAGCTCTGGTATATCGTATCAACTGACATATGTATACTCCGTTCATTATCACTGAACTAGTATATATATTTGTTTAGGGGCCAGCTGAAGGACGCCTCCGGGTGCGGGAATTTCTCGCTGCATTGAAGACCTGTTGGTGACCTTCTGCTGTTGTCTGTTCTATGGTCGGGTTGTTGTCTCTTTGACACATTCCCCATTTCCATTCTCAATTTTATCCA